CGCTGCTCGCAGCTATATTTGGGCCCAAGCCCTGAAAGGGCGAAGGCCCTATTGTTTCCCTAACATTATTATTATTATTTTATTTATACGACTAATTGGGCACTTTTGGGCCCTTAACATGCTCAAAAACTCTTGAAACTTTGCACACGGGTCAGAATCGCGGCCATCAGGGCCGGGCTGAAGATGGTACCCGGGCGTGGCAGGGGGGCTAGACAGCGCCCCCTGGAACGGGGTCCGAAAACTTGGTCCATAAATCAAACACGCTTGCATGTAATAATATGAAACTCGGTGCACATATAGATCTCATCGTTCATATATACCTCAAACTATTACTTTTACCCCAGCCCAACAGGAAGTCGGTTATTTAGGTTGTTCATTAAAACACTCGCAATGGAATGTGCAATACTCCTCCTAGAGAATTCAAACACACGGCACGAAACTCGGTCAGCATGAAGTCAAGGCATTGAGGATGAAAGTTTGTGTGGGGATTTTTGATATCTCGAACGGTTTGGCCGTGGCGAGGAAACGAAATAATGGCGAGAATCGTGAAACAGGAAGTGTGTTCAGAACTTCAGCATACATTAACTGATCTTGATAAAACTTCAGCAGTATGTTCGCTGTAAGAGGACGATCACATGGATGTGACTATTGTGAGTCAAAGTTATAGCGCCACCAACTGGCAGCAGGAACTGTGTCACTTTCAAAATGCTTTGAAATCACCTTTTATTTTACCCGATTTGCTTCAAACTTAATCTGTATAATGTAAACACATAGCAGATGAAGACCTGTGAATGGATTCTTGATATCTTTGATACTGTTGCTGTGGCAACGCATCAAACTTTAAATTCTTTTTTTTTGATGATTTTGAGACTCTTAGCGGCTTTTGGGCCCTTAACGGGTTTGAAAAACTCTTGAAACTTTGCACACAGGTCATATCCCACAGCCCTCAGAGCCGGGCTGAAGATGGTACCTGGGTGTGGCAGGGGGGCTAGACAGCGCCCCTGGAACGGGGTCCGAAAACTTGGTCCATAAATCAAACACGCTTGCATGTAATAATATGAAACTCGGTACACATGTTGATCTCATCGTTTCATCTTCTACCTCACACTCTTACTTTTACCCCAGCTCAACAGGAAGTCGGCTATTGAGTTTGTTTGTAAAACGCTCGCAATGGAATGTGCAATACTCCTCCTAGAGAATTCAAACACACGGCAGGAACTCGGTCAGCATGAAGTCAAGGCATTGAGGATGAAAGTTTGCGAGGGATATTTTGATATCTCGAACGGTTTGGCCATGGCGAGGAAACGAAATTATGGCGAGAAATGTGAAACAGGAAGTGTATTATAACTTCAGCATACATTAACTGATCTTGATGAAACTTCAGCAGTATGTTCGCTGTAAGAGGACGATCACATGGATGTGACTATTGTGAGTCAAAGTTATAGCGCCACCAACTGGTAGCAGGAAATGTGTAACCTTCAAAATGCTTTGAACTCACCCTTTTATTTTTACCCGATTTGCTTCAAACTTCATCTGTATAATGTAAACATATGCAGATGTAGACCTGTGAATGGATTCTTGATATCTTTTAAACTGTTGCCGTGGCAACGCATCAAACTTTACCCTTCTTTTAGGATGCTTTTAGGATGCTTTTGAGACCCTTAGCATGCTTCAAAATGCATGAAACTCAACAGACACATTTATTAGCCAGTAGACATGTGCAAAGTTTCAGAAACGGGCATGGTGCAGGGACTAAATAGCGCCACCTTTTGACAAAAGTGGGGTTGTTAGTTTTATCTACAGTTACAAAAATCGGTATATAGATTTTACTCCTCAAGCCGGACAACTTTCTAATTCATAGTCATTAGCTCGGACCAAGGGGAAGTCAGATATTTTGGATTGAATATGGTGAGCCTCTCTCTGAGCTTACGTCCGTGTATGGCAAGCCCTTTTCAACATTTAAAAGCTAAGTTTGCCTATCCGGAACTAACATTGTAGATATCAACGTCTTTCTGACTAGTCGTAATTTCATTTTGGATAGTTTGTATTATCATTTAATAGATATCTGTAATGTAATTGTGAGTAGTCGAAATGACAGATAGAGTATGGCAAGCTGTTTAACATTTAATCATTTAATCATGAAAGGCCAAAGCCTGCGCCACCGCCACCCCGGTGCCTTTAGGTAACTAAAGGAACCGGGTTGCGGTGCCACGGCTTGGGCCCGCCATCGCTGCTCGCAGCTATATTTATTATTATTATTATTATTTATACGACTATTCGGGCACTTTTGGGGCCCTTAACATGCTCAAAAACTCTTGAAACTTTGCACACGGGTCAGAACCGCGGCCATCAGGGCCGGGCTGAAGATGGTACCGGGCGTGGCAGGGGGGCTAGACAGCGCCCCCTGGAACGTGGTCCGAAAACTTGGTCCATAACTCAAACACGCTTGCATGTAATAATATGAAACTCGGTACACATGTTGATCTCATCGTTCATATATACCTCATACTATTACTTTTTACCCCAGCCCAACAGGAAGTCGGTTATTTAGGGTTGTTCATAAAACACTCGCAATGGAATTTGAAGTACTCCTCCTAGAGAATTCAAACACACGGCACGAAACTCGGTCAGCATGAAGTCAAGGAACTGAGGATGAAATTTTGCGAGGGGATTTTTGATATCTCGAACGGTTTGGCCGTGGCGAGGAAACGAAATTATGGCGAGAAACGTGAAACAGGAAGTGTGTCATAACTTCAGCATACATTAACTGATCTTGATGAAACTTCAGCAGTTTTTTCGCTGTAAGAGGACGATCACATGGATGTGACTATTGTGAGTCAAAGTTATAGCGCCACCAACTGGTAGCAGGAAGTGTGTCACTTTCAAAATGCTTTGATCTCACCCTTTTATTTTGACCCGATTTGCCTCAAACTTCATCTGTATAATGTAAATACATAGCAGATGAAGACCTGTGAATGGATTCTTGATATCTTTGATACTGTTGCCGTGGCAACGCATCAAACTTTAAAATTCTTTTTTTGATGATTTTGAGACTCTAAGCGGCTTTTGGGCCCTTAACGGGTTTGAAAACTTTGAAACTTTGCATACAGGTCAGATCCCACAGCCATCAGGCCCGGCTGAAGATGGTACCTGGGCGTGGCAGGGGGCTAGACAGCGCCCCCTGGAAGGGGTCCAAAAACTTGGTCCATAAATCAAACACGCTTGCATGTAATAATATGAAACTCGGTACACATGTTGATGTCATCGTTTCATATATACCTCACACTCTTACTTTTACCCCCAGTCAGACATGAAGTCGGTTATTTAGGGTTGTTCATAAAACACACGCAATGGAATTTGCAATACTCCTCCTAGAGAATTCAAACACACGGCACGAAACTCGGTCAGCATGAAGTCAAGGAACTGAGGATGAAATTTTGCGAGGGATTTTTGATATCTCGAACGGTTTGGCCGTGGCGAGGAAATAAAATGATGGCGAGAAACGTGAAACAGGAAGTGTGTTATAACTTCAGCATACATTAACTGATCTTGATGAAACTTCAGCAGTGTGTTCGCTGTAAGAGGCCCATCACATGGATGTGACTATTGTGATTCAAAGTTATAGCGCCACCAACTGGCAGCAGGAAGTGTGTCACTTTCCAAATGCTTTAAAATCATCCTTTTATTTTTACCCGATTTGCTTCAAACTTCATCTGTATAATGTAAATACATGGCAGATGAAGACCTGAGAATGGATTCTTGATATATCTGATACTGTTGCCGTGGCAAGGCATCAAACTTTGAAATTATTTTAGGATGTTTTTGAGACTCTTAGCATGCTTGAAATTGCATGAAAATCAACAGACACATCACATTTATTAGCCAGTAGACATGTGCAAAGTTTCAGAAACGGGCATGGTGCAGGGACTAAATAGCGCCACCTTTTGACAAAAGTGGCGTTGTTAGTTTTATCTACAGTTACAAAAATCGGTATATACATTTACTCCTCAAGCCGGACAACTTTCTAATTCATAGTCATTAGTTTGGATCAAGAGAAGTCAGATATTTTGGTTTGAATATGGTGAGCCTCTCTCTGAGCCTACTGTACGTCCCTATATGGCAAGCCCTTTTAACATTTAAAAGCTAAGTTTGCCTATCCGGAATTAACATTGTAGATATCAACACGCCACGTTTTGACAAAAGTGACTAGTCTTAATTACATTTTGAATAGTTTGTATTATCATTTAAGATATCTGTAATGTAATTGTGACTAGTCGAAACGACAGATAGAGTATGGCAAGCTGTTTTAACATTTCATTTAATCATGAAAGGGCTAAAGCCTGCGACACCGCCACCCCAGTGCCTTTAGGTAACTAAAGGAACCGGGGTTGCGGTGCCACCGGCTTGGGCCCGCCATCGCTGCTCGCAGCTATATTTATCATTATCATTATATGATGGTTGTGTACAGGCACTGCCAACACACATTTCAGTACAATCAACTTGTAAAAGTGCATGTACCATTATATGACCCTGGTGTGAGTGATTATTAGCATGGTCTAATGCCTGGTTAACATTGTTGTCAAAGATAGCCTTCTACAGTGCCATAAATTTAGCATAATCATCTCACAGTGTGTTTGCTGCTACGACCTAGGCCTACATCTACTGACTAGAAAAAAAGCAACATAAAATGGTGCATTGATCAACGGGACATGGCGCTAAAACTTACATGTTCTTACCTCAAGCTCCGCTTGCAAAATTGTCATGCCTCTTTTCCCTAGCCATGACAGCTGACATCACAGCTTGTGTAGTGTGACCCGTTTTGACTCCAAGCAGGATATCCACTTTAGCATGAAGGTGTTTCACACAGGTTGACCATGTAGCCTATGTTCTTAGATGGTCTCTTTCCCCTCTCAAGTCAATGCCCTAAAAAACATTGTAGCATGAGCACCAGGAGTTTGTTTTCAGACACTTTGTGATGAAAATCTCCAGAATACTGTCTTGGAGAGTGTTTGGTTTTCATGTTGTCATGACTGGTCTCCATTACATCAACAAGTCTGCCATCTGAACAGTCTGATTAATCTCCTGCAGCACATCAGCCAGGAAATAACCAAATGTAACAAACTTGTTTTGAACAACCCGGTCTCATCCCAAGACGTCACATAACTGACGTTTTGGGACGTCTTTTGACCATACGTCAATATTCGCCTTTTTAGGGCCCCCTTAAACGACGGTAGATGAGGTTATGGGATCCTAACTCTACCCCAGACCTAAACTTAACCCTAAACCAAACCCGTCACCTAACTGACGTTAAAGGTAAAGTGTCAGTTGCATGACGGCCCGGGATCGCCATCTACCGACGTTTAAGGGGGCCCTAAAAAGGCGGATATTGACGTATGGTCAAAAGACGTCCCAAGACGTCAGTTATATGACTTTTTGGGATGAGACTGTGTTATTTTGAAAACCCTTTTCCCTCTATCAGCTATTGTGAGTGGTTTGGCCCAAAATTCTCCATGAGAATGGCAACAGCTCAGATTGGCTCACAAGATGGTGGCTATCTGAAATCACCCCCTATTTGAGGGAACAGACATCTGTTGTGGTGTCTGAAACCAGTGGATGCTATCGAGTGCACTCATTCATTACCATAAAGCATCACAATAACAAATGTGCAACTGATGTACATTCAACAGCTAGGAAATACCCACGATGCACTTCAAAAGTAAAGTTGTTAAAACAGGTCAGTGACAACATGACATCTGCTAGCTTGGTAAGGGTAAAATATTGGAGTAATGGTGAGCGGGATTCCTAAAAATAGCCTTTAGCTGCATTACACGCATAGCTAAATAACATAGGCCTACCTCGTGATGACAAACCGGATCGAGCTACCGAGCAATACAAAATATTGTGCAGCGCCTGGTTGTGGAAGAAGACAGTCGCTGCATAAGCTTCCTCTGTATTCCAATAGGACTTCATGGATAAACTTTATTTTTAATGATGTTCCAGCTGATGAGGTAAAACATCTTCCGTCTGTTCGCTTCATTTCACTGAGGATTGTTTTGTAAAAAAGACTGGCTGTGACGTCTATATTGGATCTGACAAGAATTGTGCAACACACACACTCTGGGTCGAATCATTCTGGTTGCCATTTTACAACATTGGATGTTTTGAAAACAATTTCCCCCAAGTGCATCAACGGGTGAGTCGAAACTCATTATAATATGCAAAACTGTTATCCACTCACAGCAGTGGGTGTTTACTTCCAAGTCTTTGGTGCGAGACGCCCATAAAAAACATTTTTGAGCTAGGCTAGAAAATAGCCTATACTAATTAATTTTGATGCTTTCTAATGTAAAAACCAAACAAACGTCATAAGTTGACCTTAGACAGTTCATGACCCCTTTACATAAGATAAATGCTAACAAAAAAATAAATAAAAAACAGCAGATATCTAAAACAGGGTAAAAAGACAATATTTTATTAGTTTAAACATACAGTTATCAGGATGCTTATCGATTCAAATTCAGTAACAAATATCCAAATTCCAAGTAGCCTGAAAGAAAAATTCAATATTACATATTTTCAGAGAAGAAATCTTTTGTTTTTTAAAAACAATTCCTGAATTAACTGTGACATCAGATGTAACCTTTCCCCTTTCTCAGAACCCCTGTATAAGACAATCAGCTAAACTAAATTTCAACTTTTAATAATTAAAGCCTCAGCTGTAAAATCGTTTAGTATTTTTCTTTTTAACAATGTTTTAAAGAAACATGATTTTTTTCCATTTATTTTTGACATATTATGAACTGAACTTTGAAAGTCATGTTTCATTGATTTCGTTGCACTGGCCTATTCAATTTAGAAATTGAATTTAAACTTCAAACAAAGTATTTGCATTATTAAGAAATTTCAATAATGTGGCACAAAGATGAATTAGAAACAATGGAATTTTTGTAGAAAAAAAAAAAGACATTAAATGTAATAAACATTTAAGCGCTTTAAACCATCATCTCACTCTCCCCAACTGTAAATAAAGCGCTTAATACCTGAATTCGGCCTTAAATGTTAATGCGTGGGGTTGTTTTATAAATTATGTTCCTCGTTTCATTGAACACATTTAATTAGTATATCTATAAAACACTGCATGAATATTGTGAAGATCAGCATCCACCTTAGTGCTCTTCTCGAAATCTACATTTGTCCCGTTGCGTCTCTGTTCTACTAACCGATCTAGTATTTGTCGTCGTCTGCATCGCTGAGAGCTTCGCCGCCAGCGAGAGATACGCTCTGTGCCAATCTCTTCCGGAAGTGTCCGTTGGGCACCTGCCAGCCTACCCGTGACCTCGTGCGCATCGAGGCGCTGACCGTGTTCGCGCGGCCTAGGCTGGTGGCCACCGCTGCCTCAAAGGTGAGAGTTTCCATATGGGTGGCAGAATCCGGGCTGTGCTCTTCATCTTGTAGGTTAAGGAAGGATTCAGAAGGATAGCGCCGGGCGGATGAACTCAAATAATCAAAACGGGGGCTTTCCTGTTGTCTCACTCTACCTTCCTGGTCTTCAGCGCCGTCATCCCATAAAGCAGTGCTACAGCACCCTAACATCTGCTGGACGGTTGGGTCATCGTCGTCATCATCATCAGCTTGTGATGAAGGTTGCGTGTGTAACACTAAGGGTGAGTAGGAGATGTGAGGGCGTGAGCAGGTGGAGATCTGGGACAGGCGACGCTTGCCGCTCGGCGTGCTGGACTCTGAGGTGGAGGGGACGGGGCTTTCTGAGCTGTTTCCCTGAGGAGAAATCAGAGGGCAAGTATTTAGGACTATGATCCAATTTAAATCACATTTGAAGATGTTGCCAGACCACTACAAGTTTAGAGATCATAACATCAACACAATCAAATTTAAAGGGTTAGTTCACCCAAAAATGAAAATTCTGTCAGTATTTCCTCACCCTCATGTTGTTCCAAACCTCTATGCGTTTATTTGTTCTGCTGAACACAAAGGAAGATATTTGGAAGAATGTTTTAATCAAACAGATCTCATTCCTTAATGACTACCATAGCTATGGTAGTCATAATAGCATTGACAACTTGAGGGTGAGTAAATACTGACAGAATTTTCATTTTTGGGTGAACTAACCCTTTAAAGCTGGGTTTGTCCCGTATTATGCCCCTTTTCACAAGATGTTAAAAGTCTCTGATGTCCCCAGAATGTGTATGTGAAGTTTCAGCTCAAAATACCCAACAGGTCATTTTTTACAGCATGTTTAAATTGTCATTTTTGGGGGGCTCAGAAAAACGTGCTGTTTTAGTGTGTGTGTGTATACGGTAGGGGGCGGTAAAACTCCTAAGCGGTGAGCAGCCGGTAACAAAAAGTAGTCGAATGAGAACGTCCTCGTCTCAGTTCTCGCGCATGCGCCCATAAGGAAGTAATGGAATAGTCGAATAAAGCCGTTATTTGTGTTTTTTTTTCGCACAAAAAGTAGTCTCGTCGCTTGATAAACTTATAATTGAGCCGCTGTAGGCACATGGAATATTTAAACCTTTTCTTTAATAACTTTATGGGCCGTCAATAGCCAGTCCCTTAGGCAGTCTAGGACTGATCCAGCTCTCAGATTCAATCAAAAATATCTTTATTTGTGTTCCGAAGATTGGAACTTACGGGGTTGGTGCAGCATGGCGGTGAGTAATTAATGACTTAATTTTCATTTTTGGGTGAACTAACCCTTTAAGATGGGTATAAAGGACGGGACAGAACAAAGTTTTGGTATGCTCAGATTCATCATCAGTTTTAACAAGGCTGAGGTCATTCAAATGCCGATTTCTTGTGGAGTACCGCAAGGTAGTGTATTAGGGCCCTTACTTTTTAAAATTTATATTAATGATTATATGTGGACGATGCCATAATAGTTACTGATGAAAACAATTTAAGAAGAGAAATTGTAGAAGTATCCAATTGGTGTTTTCAAAATAAGCTATTTTTGCACTTACGGAAAACTGAGGCTATTTTATTTGGTTCTGCTCCGAAATTGAAGATCGTCCCAATTCAGAAATAAGGGTGGGAGATGAGTATTTTACTTTTAAGCAAGAAGTACAATTTTTGGGATGTATTTTTGATAACAAAATGATAACATGGCAGTTGTAGCTTTATCGAAAATAAGTAATCGAATAAAATTTTTAGCAAGACAGAATGCTTATTTAGATAGACAAACAATGATAATGTTAGCTGGTGCATTAGTGCAACCACATTTCAACTATGCAGTAACTTTTTGGTATAGTGGCTCTAAGAAACATGTTAAAAATAAATTACAGACTGCTCAGAACAGGTTGTGTTGAATCGTTCATCCTCGTACGCAACTAAATAACCATTTTAGGGAATTGGGTATTTTAAAAGTGGATAAAAGGGTCATTTTTTATTAAAATTATGATTGTGTACAAAATAATTCAGAGAACTCTTCCAAAATACTTGTATGACTACTATGTTTTTGTAAGAGATGTTCATGGTATTTCTACAAGAGCAAGGATAAATAATATATATCTGTACCGGTTTAAAAGTGTAGTTGGGAAGAATTCGTTTTTGTACTCGAGTGCAGTTGCTTGGAATGAATTGCCAGATCATTTAAAACAATTACAAGAGGCATGGCCCTTTAAAGGACAAGTTCGGTATTTTACTATTAAAGGCCTGTTTTAAGATCGTTTCTGATGAAATAGAATGGTTAGGATGGTTTTTTAGACAAATGCTGCTGTCACGAGAACTTGGAACAATCCTTCATAAAAATGCATAAAACTTTAGTTTACAAAGACGTGAAACTCACATAGTGGTCTGGGGGGTTCACTGATATGCTCACACAAAAATACCTGCAAAGATGCTTAAAGCATAATCGCTTTTCAGCGTGTTTAATTGTAACTTAACGTTACATTACAGTATATATAAAATTTAAATTTATGAAATTTATTAACATCACAACTTTCGTTGGGCAAGGAACTTACATATCTGAACGACATCTAAAGAAGCAACCAATTACAGTTCTTTTTGTTCTGCTGCATGTTTAAAGGGCATGGAAATGTAAAGTCGATGTGCCTACGCCAACCAGACTATCAGCGTACATCTGTGTGTGATCAATTAATGATCCGTTCAAAAATGTTGTGCGAGCTTACTGCAACAACGGCGCAGCAAACTTCAAATAAAGACATGCATGTCTCCTTGAAATCCTGGAGAATTCAACTAATTGGATGACAACTTCAAAACTCCCGAAGTGTGTGCCAAACGCATCAGACGTTCAGCCAACGGTGCGTGGACGTGATGTCTGAGGCTGAGACAAGCTTTCGCATTACATTTCATTTTTCATGGGAACCGTGCTCTGTTTCAGACTAAACTGCCTGTTTGACATCACATCTGTATGGACCTTGCTTTGTGCACATTGATACTGTCAAGCAGGAGGGGAAAAGATGTTGCACACGATTTTGTAAAAATTTATTATATACGGTAGTTTGAATTAAGTCCTCTAAGAAATTATTGAAATAACCAAACCATTAAATAGAAGGGGAAGTCCACATAAGTTTACCCATTCTTGTATATCAGTCTATCTGAAAATTAACTTTTGCAGTCTGGATCTGTGTCTTGGAAGATTTGATCTTGACTCTGAAATGTGGTGACTGGTTTCTATCAGTTAAACACATTATCTTTATTTCATCTGGCCAGCAGGGGACAGCATTTGTAGAATAGTGTTGATTACAACATTCTTGAAAATCACAGGTTTTCCTTGTATTCTTGTTTCCATGTTTCGTAAAGGTATAACAAGGTCCTTTAAGTAAACATCAACTGTGATGCGAGTCACACGAAAGAACCTTTACAAATAGAGGTTTTGAGCTGCTTGTTTACCTGTCTGGTGACCCCATGTATGCGCTCCTCACTTGGAGAGCGGGAGCGGGATTTTGAGTTGGTGTTATCAGGGGACAGTAAGAACCGTTGTTCTTTTGGTCGTCCCCGCACCTTTTCCATGTACTGTGTCTGGTCTGAGTGGGACACTGCAAATTGCAAAATAGATGTTGTACATCACATAGTCCACACAGGTTAACTACAGCACTCAAAGACTTAAAGCAAGGATTTTCACATCGGATTTGATATCTGACACTGAATGTATTCTCATTAACGTGCTATTATACAGTAAGTGCGAGAGAAAATTTAAATGGCTCATATCATGAGGTATAATATATTCGAATGCGCTCTCAGAACTTCCTCCTCGTCACCTACAGTGCTTGACGTACAAGCGTGCGTTTTAAAAGCTTGTCTCTTGCATGGTGACTCATTGGTCAAGCGTTGGCTGGTGTATTCTGGAGTTATGCAGCGTCTTCTCACTCTACGCGGGAAATGCGGTAACCAACCTGCAGCTTTGTAGCTCTTGTGTCTGGTTCTGAATGCATGTTCAGGTGGGCGATCTTCCCCCCACACGCCATTCAACCCTGATTCATCAACCTGTGAATCAGCATCTCATTTGTCAATATCTCGTCAGTTTATAAATCATTCACTCATTGTTCAGTATTTTACTGTGTACAAGTTGACACAGACTGTATCACTATTAACTATTTCAAGAAACAAGACTTTTTTTTCTTGTACCTGAGAGGCATCGTAGTCTTCACTGCTGTCTGTGCGCTGGGTCATGGGTTGCAATAACAGCTCCTGTGGTGAAATTGGGCTCAAAGCCACAAACCCTCCACTGGTCCTACAACACAGAACCACATCTTTATTACATACACAATAGTGTAAGTTAAATGGCTTGAAACCTCCCGAGAGTCCTGGCCAAGGTCTGTCAACAAGGGTCTTGCCTTTTGCTGATAGTGCCTCGTTGGCCAACCAGAGTTTGGTTCTCGAAATAATATCCCTCCTTAACAGCTCTCCCTAGGCGATACCGAACAGGAGGGACCTTCTGTCTCAGGTGCAGGGGATGATATTCCATCCTCGGCCTGAGCTTTGAAACCTTCACGTTTGGCCCTTCACGTTTTGGCTGGAGGGGGACCAGCTAAGAGAAGTTGGACTTGTAATACAGACTACTCTGAGGCTCAATCCCAATTCACCCCTTGGCCGAGTGTACCCCTTGGCCCTTAAAACAGAGTTACAAGGGCCAAGGGGTTGAAATATTCCCCTACGAAATGGAACAACCCTTCATGAACCTGATATACGTCATCAGTCGTCGGCGATGGCTCTGCCATTCTAGAGATTTTACAGGATTTCTCCATGACAACAAATGACAATCAGCTGCTCTTAACTTTGAATAAACATGACGATTATAACATCCCTTCCTCGAAATGTATGTCTTTTCTGATCGGAAAGGTAATTTATTATACCATTTCTTAATTTAAACAACTATAGTGTTATTATAAGAGTAAATAAAGTGCACGGTGGAATCATCTGGCGCTAAATTTAAATGTTTAACCGTTAGCGATCCATCTCGCCGGTGATTTGCAATGCATTCTGTGAGCTTTCTCGTAGCCCTCCGTTTGGAGTGTGCCTCTGATAAATCTCTGTTTCGAGGAATATGTAGCCCTACCCCTTCGCCCTACCTCTCGATCTCAACAAGAATCGTGACACCCTACCCCTAGACGTGAACGTGCAAAATGGAGGGGTAAGGCCAAGGGGTAGAGGCAAGGGGTGAATTGGGATTGAGCCAAAGTGCTAGGGCTCCCTCCTCTAGAAGAATGTACCCCTTTAAGTGGCACGTCTTTGAAAGGTGGTGTACAATACATCATGCAGACCCAGTTCACTGCCAGATTGTTTCAGTGCTGGAGTTTCTGCTGGAAAAGTTGTCAGCAGCCATGTGTCCAGCTACTCTCAGAGTATTTGTTGCCAACATTTTGGCTTGCCATGCTCTGATTGAAGGGGTTTCAATGGTAAACACCCTCTGATCACCCGCTTCATTCATGGAGCTAGGCGACTGAGACTACCCGTCAGAGTGAGAGTTTCCTCATAGGACTTAGCAGTGGTCCTTGAGGGACTAGTCGACAACCCCTTTAAACCACTAGAATCAGCACGGGTCAAGCTTCTGACTCTAGAAATGTTTTTCCTTATGGCCATCTCATTACTAAAGAGAATTGGGGATTTGCGGACTCTGTTGGTTTTGGCATAATGTTTAGCCTTGACCAGTCCAGGGGCAAAGTCTATTTTGCACCCTCGACCAGACAATCTTCAAAACAGTTCCTTTTTCGACCGTGCATTCTGTAGTTTTTAAAGCCTTCTATCCTCTGTAGGACAAAAGACTTGGATGAAGTCCATTTATTATGTCCAGTTCATGCTCTCCACCACACTAGCCAGTGGCGTAAGTCAGAGCAGCTGTTCGTTTCTCACAGGGGCCGTAACCGGGTGGCGGCCACCACAAAGTAGACTGTTGTATTAGGCAAGGGATGTCATCACCCAAGCCAATCTGATTAATTCAGGATTCGCCTGTAGTTGTTAGGGCTCAATCCAGCAAGTGGGTTGCATCCTTAAGCTGCAGAAAGTATGTGATGTGGCAGGTGGGTTCTCTCCACACACATTCATTACATTCTATAGTTTGGATGTTAATGTTACTCCAGGCTCACACGTCCTTGAGTTGACATCACAAACTCCTGTTTGTGCGCACACAAGCATGAGGGGTCCAGACACTTCCAGTGAGGCGACGTTGGTATTCTCATTCCCATAGCACTTGAATCAGTGCAGCATTGGGAGTAGCTTTTGAAAAGGGACGTCTCTGGTTAATTGGACTGTAACCCTTTTCCCTGAAAAAGCGAGATTGAGCCGTTCTGGGGGCGTGTTTAGGACATTCTTGGCACGTTTGCTAGGGCTGGGTAATAAATATCGATTTCTCGATATTTATCGATTCTCATTTTTACAAACCGATATTGATTCTTAAATCTCAAGAATCGATTAGTCATCCTGTTTCATTTGAATGAATGGAACATTGTATCACGGCTGCGCGCATCCAAAAAAAAATCGCAAAATCTTTGTCCTTTGTTACTATTGATATGAAACAAAGTATCAATTTTCAAATTACGTCCATTTTCTTTAATCAATGTCATGTACCGTCATGTTTACCCCAGAAAACCCACATAAACTCGTTAGTAGGGTTGGGTATCATTTGAATTTGAACGATTCTGATTCCGATTCCGATTCCTTGTTTCGATTCCGGTTCCTAACGATTCTCGATTCCGATTCTTTTAAGAGGCAGGGTCAAAAAAGTTTAGCTAACCTTGCTAACCAACGGCCTTTCTGAAGGAAATAATCCTTTCTGAAGGAAATACTCCTTCTGTAAAAATACTCCTTTTGTCACAAATTTTGCATTTTGCTGAGATTTCGTTATTTTTAGAAAAGTGAAGCCACACTTTGGATCGCTGCCGTAAGGTACTCATGTTCGACTCGCGTGGTTATGCCAACACTTCTGGTAGACGCTTCTTCGTTGGTGGTGTTCAGTAGTTTCTTCTTCCACTCGGCGGACTGTGAATATCGAAACTTTTTTTTTTTTTATATCGAAACTAGGAATCGAAATTTTAACTTTTGAACGATTCCGGGAAAAACGAAAAGTTAGTCCCGGTTCCAATCGATACTCGATTCTCGATACCCAACCCTACTTGTTAGTCAGCTAGAAAAAAAATAACTATAGAGAGGAGCATTTTGCTAAATATATACACTATATTACATATGCATTATAATCTTAATGTTCTTCAATATTTAATGCATATTTGAATAAATCTGGCAAGTTTTTATGACAGCCACCATTTAAATGTTTATAATTCATATAATCTTCTTATTATAAAAATAAATAAAAGTGTAATTTAAGTGTTTGTATAGCTACAAAACAGTTCATTATAACCTTCATTTTAGGCTAATGAAGTCTATAGACTACAACTAGACTCCCATAGTTTACAGCATTAGTTAAGAGATTTGATTCCCTTGAGAAAAATGGCCATTTATTGTAACTGATATCCAAAATAATAAATATTGAATCGAATTGCAAGCTTGTGAATCGAAATCTAATCGAAATCACTTTATTGAAATTTGTCTCAATACCCAGCCCTAGCGTTTGCCACACGTGTTAACAACCGTTCAAACAAAGATGGTTTCCCATAGTGCTTAAATCAGCGCAGCATCTCGTTCCCATTTTTTTCAGGCAGTGGTTTGAGAAAGTCTGTGGCCAGGGTAAGGCCGTACACATGCTCTGCCTATTATTTTTAGTTTTCGTTTAGCTTATTCTTATTCTGTTCATTGGTTGTTTTACTTATAAAGGGATTTTGTTGTTTTCATGAAACTGTTGGCTGACAACAAATCATATTTAACCAATCATTTTCATCCCATTCATTAAAATGGTCCACTCACTTTGAAATGTCTGGCCCTGCCACTGGTATACACTGGTATGGTTCAATTGTGTTATTTTAAACAAAGAAAACTTACAGGGCTGATCCTGCGCTGTGAGCTATCAGGGGCAGGGTGGAACTTCTCTGTAGAAAAGCAAAACATATTATTGAGAAATTATGAAAAAATGCAAAGCCTTTGCATATACACAAACTAGACAAAACATATAACATCAAAATATGTTTAGAGAAAAATAATGTATTCTAACAATCACTAAAATGGATCCTCCTGGCCTTTGTCATTGCCTTATTAAGCATGATATGATGAGTAATACAAATTAGTCTAAATGTGAAATGTGCAAAAAACATAATAATAATAATGAAGTCATGTCAGCATACCTGGGCCTCTATCTGCAGCCTCAGCTTCTTAGCTTTGCTCTGCTTAAAGTAATCCATGATCATCATAGATGCATAGATCTTTCCAACGGTCATGTCTGTGTCTGGAAATACACACACACACCTCTAGATTAATTAACAGATTAATTTACATTAACCAAACCAACCTTTGAGCAGATACACCAGTTTCATGCTCATGACACTGTTTTAAAATGGAAAGGTGTCATGTAATTCCTCTATATGGAAGTATAGCTGCTATAGTTTGGTTGTGAACAAGGTAGTTCTTGGCACAAATGCAGACAGACATGAATTATTCAGCCATTTTAAAAACTAAACAGAATGCACATCAGAAGGCACATAAATCATGGCAGCTGGCAAAGGAAGTTTCAAGACACTGACTCCAAGGTTTCAGTAGCTGGAATTGATCATGTTTAGTGGGGGCAGAGCAATAAGCTTGCATGCAGTTCTCTGTCATATAGCACAGCTGCGTTTTATTTTTAATTATTTAAAAAAAAATGAATCTTTTACTGGAGACAAGCAGTGGATTGCAAAAAGCCCCTTCAAACAAAAGTTAGAAGGTAGTCCAAGATGGTTAAGACCCAATCTGGAGAATACCAGCTAAAGACCAAGTACACATCTCTGAACACGTCAGATCCTCAATTACACTCTGTGTTTACACTGTCTGTCGCTTGGTCCAAATTGTTCTTTTGGTTTCTTTAGGAACGTTTGGATGCATGTCTGACTCCATCCATGCTCTAGGTTTATGTTAGGTTTACTATAGCCTCGCGTCCTCTCCTTTTGACCATCTGAAGTTGGTTAGCTTGCACACTCTCGTTGAAGACTGTGCAGCTACTGAAGCTAGTTTCTGTGAAGGGTATTGATGGTCTGCAGTTTCTATTTGTATTATTCACTTGGGTTCTCTATTAAGGTACATTTCTAATAAAATTGATTTTAAATCGTAATTTTGGCCACCCCTAAAATGGTTCATACCATATACATTACCTGAGCAGTGGATTAAAATATAATATAAAACCGTGCTCATTCAGGGAAGTGCATTTATGGCATAAATGAAGAACGTAATGCGTTTCAAATGCACATGGTTCAGTTGAATGATATCATTTGCCCTTTTAATGAAGTGAATGTTCTAAGCAAATTGTTTAATTAAAAATGTCCACAATTGAAATTGGAGTGCAGTTCATTGGTCAATCAGTTGTGCATGATAGTTGTGTTAATTTCAATAATATGTGTGTGTGTGTGTGTGTACAGGTGAAACTCGAAAATTTATAATTTTGATGACTATGGCTTACAGCTTATGAAACCCCAAATTCAAAATCTCAGAAAATTACATTACAAGAAATCAATAAAAAAATAAAAAATAAAAAAATAAATACAGAAATGTCAGCCCTCTGAAAAGTATAATCATGCCTATGTACTGTATATAGTTATATTTGCTAAATACATTAGTTTCACCTTTTAATTTGAATTACTGAAATACACTCTCTGACCCCTCTATTTCACTTTGCATCTGAGTCTCACCTTTGTTGATGGGTACCAGCAGGTCCAGAGTCTTTTGGGACAGGTGTGGCCAGGTGCAACTTATCTCCTTCTGCAATTCCGTGTCCAACTGTAGCCGGTCCTCGCCCCCTAATAGAAAACATATGGTCTCAAATAAGAGATTAATATAATAGATTATTGGAAATCTTTTGAGAACCTGCATTGACTGTATCCTCATTAAATATAGAGGTAAGTTAAATCTTCCGGGCACTTATGTAGTGCTGGGATATCTCCCCTATTCCTCTTCTGATTAGCTGTCTTATGCCAGATTGTTGTCTGCAAGAAACCCAGCCTCTTCTCTTTTCAGCATTTTTTTAGGCTTTCTTTAGGCCCTGCTCTTGTCTGTTGACTTTCTTGCCTGTTCTCCTGGCTCCGACCATGGACCGTTTATCCATCTCTCTCGTTCTCCATGGACTAGCCTGCTGGATTGCCACTGATATAGATTACTTCTTGATACTTCTGTAGTGCTATTTTGTTATTATGGAGCATTTTATGTAAAAGAGTGGCCAGAATATTCTACAAATATTTAAATATTCTTGTGTTTGACGGATGCGTCTCGTTCTGCGCCCCAGTTCAGTGGTCAGTAGGGTGGGAATCGTTAGGCACCTCATGATCCAATCTAAATCCAATTTTTGAAGTTACAATCCGATTCCAAAATGATTTTTGATCTACATTTTTTTTCTTTGTATTAATTAGCTCACCGACCTTAAATCTTACATTTATTTGTACATTTAATATTGAATAATATATATATATATATATATATATATATGTATATATATACATACACATATATTAGGGCTGTCAAGCGATTAATCGCATCCAAAATAAAAGTTTGTGTTTATGTGGGTGCACTGTTTTATGTGGGTGCACTGTGTATAATTATTTTGTGTGTGTATATATATATATATATATATATATATACAGTATATATATACACACACACATGCATGTATACTGTATTTAAGAAAAAAAATATTAATTATATATAAAAATATTTATATATGATATAAATTATATATAAATCTATATACAGTATATACATGAAAATATTTCTTAAATATATACAAGCATGTGTGTGTATTTAGATAATTATACATAGTGCACCCACATATATTATATAAACACAAACTTTTATTTTGGATGTGATTAATCGCGATTAATCGTTTGACAGCCCTAATATACAGTATATATATATGTATATATATATACACACATTTTTTTAACTATTCCAATTAAAAAAAAATATTCAAACTATTACAACAATGGTGCCACTTAATAGCGCTATGGCAAGCCGTTTTAGCTTAAATTGTACCCAGCCTTACTTATGGTAATTTCATTTTTACTAGTAAGAATTCAATTAGAAAGCTTTAGAGAAAATTTACAAATAATCTTTAATAGTCATGTCTCCATTGACTTTCATTCATTTTTAACTACAGAGCTCTATAATTGAATTTTGACTAGCAATAATTACAATTACAGAGCTTTCTAATTAAATTATTTCTAGTAAAGAAATGAATTAAAGATATGTATAATTGCAGAGCTCTATAATTGAATTAAAGAGCTCTGCAATTGAGTTGTTACTAGTACGAATTGAATTGTAAAGCTCTCTAATTGAATTGTTGCTTGTAAAAAATGAAATTACGATGAGTAAGGCTGGGTACAATTTAAGCTAAACCGGCTCGCCATATAGCAGGAATGTGTTGTCATGTTGCCGGAAATAGTCATCAGTGTACCAATGTTTAGTGAGACAGGGTCCTTACCAGTGCCCGGATTTGTGCACACCTAGAGAACGGGTTGAGACGCACCCATACAGGTGTGGAACAGTATGAGTGTGAGTAAAGGGAATATTTTTGGGAATACTATACTTTTTAATCATAAATTCGCATACTGACCTCTAGCAATTTTGATCTCCAGTGCAGTGCGGATCAGAGACATCAGTGTGGATGTGAAGTGAACCGTCATGTCCTCATCAACTGGCATATTCATCAGCACCAGTCTCTGCCAATAGCAACACAGCAGGGTTGCAAATCTTAATGATCTAAAATGCTCAGATATTTAATTTTTTTTTTAAGTATGCATCCTTAAAGGAGTAGTTCACTTTTTTTTTAATAAAAATGTTGGTTATAATTTACTCACCCCCATGTCATCCAAGATGTCCATGTCGTTCTTTCTTCAGTTGAAAAGAAATTAAAGTTTTTGATGAAAACATTCCAGGATTTTCTCCATATAATGGACTTCAATGGGAACCAAACGGTTCAAGGTCCAAATGAGAGTTTCAGTGCAGCTTCAAAGGGCTTTAAACGACACCAGACGATGAATAAGGGTCTTATCTAGCGAAATGACCCATCATTTCAAAAATAAATAAAAAAAGTTTTAGTTTTATAAGCACAAATGCTCGGCTTGCTCTGTTCTGTGATTCATCAAAATGAACAAATCTTTTTTCAAGTCATTTGGTTCATTCAGCGAACGAAATGACTCGAAAAAATTTTCGTTCATTTTGATGAATGAGTTCGAACAGGAGAGTCACGAACAGAACAGAGCAAGACGAGCGTTTTTTTTAAATGAGCGATCGTTTTGCTTGAAAAGACCCTTATTCATCATCTGGTGTCGTTTAAAGCCCTTTGAGCAAATTGCACTGAAACTGTCTTTTGGACCTTGACCCGTTTGGTTCCCATTAAAGTCCATTATATGGAGAAAATCCTGGAATGTTTTCATCAAAAACCTTAATTTCTTTTCGACTGAAGAAAGAAAGACATGGACATCTTGGATGACATGGGGGTGAGTAAATTATCAGCAAAAGTTCATTTTAAAAGTGAACTACTCCTTTAAATATAATTAGTTTTTCTCTGAATTTCAGAAGCACTCAACAATTACAACTATTAAACAATGCAATGAATTTGTCAAGATAAAACTTTTATACCTTGTAGGCAACTTTGGCAGGACACTTCTTTCCCAATCCAAGAGGTGGAGACATGTGGGTTAGCATCTCATACATGGCAGTGTAGTGAATACGGCCACTGGAGGGTAATAAAGCAGAGTTAAATCATGTGAGAATCACAGAAAATTATTGTTGGAAGCAAAAAAAAAAAAATCTGACGAATACTTTTGTGTTCCTACAAAACTGGTTTGCATTTAATTTACAGAATGTAATCTCTAATGCACCAACAATTTTTTCCCAATACATTTTGTGATTTTAAAGTAATCTTGAACCTGGTTTCAAAAAGCTCTTCAGTTCCTCTTGCTGAAAAGAAACCAATGCTGCCACACCACCATATATGACTGTGTGGATGGTGATAGCTGTGTTTTGGACTCTATTCATTTGGTGCCAAAGAGCAGCATTACTTTTACTGGATTATACACTTTTCCTCTTATACTGTAAAACTGCAGGAATGAGTTAAATTCAGCCAATGCTACATATGAAGTTAAATGAGTTCATGGAAAATAGTGTGATCATTATGAAAGTGAAATATGAGGGGTATGTTTACAGCAATAGAACATTCATATTTGTATACTATACGCAATAAAAATTGAAAATATTTTTGTACTGTTCAGAATTTTTTTTTCAATACAATCTAAAATGCACAGCAAAATATCAAGTTTAAAATCAATAAATACCTTTTCTACTCTATCACTGTTTTATAGACTTCCACAAAAAAAAAAAAAGATTCCCAGAAATGTCCATATTAAATACACTCTTAACATTAATGCTTATTCAGAGCATATTCTTTTTAATTATTTGCACACCTGTATATTTGCAGAATATCAAGAGGAAAAAACTTTTCCCTATACTAGGGAAAAGTGCCTATATAATTGCGATAATTGTAAATTACAAAAACATTAAAATATTTTTTTTCATGTACTATGTACTTTTAGAAGCTCCACAGAATGTGTCATTTCTTTTCTAAACATAGTATTTCAACGCATTCTCACCCCAAGGCGTCACTTTTTGACCATGCTTCAATATTTAACACTTTAGGCGCTCTTTAGTGTCAGTTACATGACGCGATCCTACGCCGTCATCTAACTGACGCTAAAGGAAAAGCGTCAGTTATACCCCTTTTCCACCAAAAAAAGAACTGGTTGGGAACTGGTGCTGGTTCAAAGTTGGTTCAACTTGCGAACCGCTTCAGAACCTATTTGTTTTTCCACTGACTAGAGCGCCCAGGGAACGACGTCGTTACGTCACTGTGTACGTCGCCATACGTCTTACCTAGAAACGCTTGCAAGTACATTACTTTCGGATTATCTCTAACTCGTATACCAAGTAAGCTTTAAAAACAATTGAAATATGTAAGTCTTTTAATCTTTTCGTTTGATATGTAACTTTTTCTGATAATTTATGTACCCCTGTAATTGTGTCTTTTTTATTTCCATTTATTTGTTCTATATTGTGACTTTTCTTTTTTGCTTATAATGTCTTCAATAAAAAATTACAAAAATAGAAACGCTTGCGTTAACTTCAAGCATAACAATTACAAATGTTTCTCTTGGCTTTGCGATCCTTTATTATGGTCAGAAAAGATGTTTAGAGCACATCTAAACCCACCCCCAGCCCCCGACGTAAGGATGACGAGGTAAAAGAACGGTTCTAGTCCAGCAAAGAGTTGGTGCCGCTTTGGAACCAGTTCTCCTGGCCGAGAACCGGTTCTTTGGCTGTCGAAACACAAAGAACTGGTTTGCGCGGAGGCACCGGCTCCGAACCGGCTCTCAAAATGCTCTGGTGGAAAAGGGGCTTTAGATAACGCGAGTAGGTTTAGGTCTGGGGTAGGGTTACACGCGATCCTAGGGCGTCATCTAACTGACGCTAAAGGGCACCTAAAGCGTCAGATATTGAACCATGGTCAAAATGCTTCCCAAGGCATCAGTTAGGTGACGCCTTGGGGGTGAGAATGGGCTGAGTATTTGGCTTTGGGCACATCCCTACCATATATCCAGTTTTATAATCTTCTTTTACCACTAATACGACTGTTCTTTATATGTTCGCCTAAACAAACACAATATCAATAAACATTTTGGCAGCCTAGAATAGAATACTAAAATAAATAAACATACAATTAATGAATACAAAAATAAACTGAAATGACAAATGGAAAAAAAAACTAAATTAGAGTTCAAAACTACAGTAATTACAGTACTGTAAAATAGATGAGTGAATTCCTTCTTCCTACTGTACTATTATAATAAAAGTGAGACAAGCTCAGTAAGTAAAATTCTCTTTAAAATCAGTAAACTCAGCTATGTCATTTTTTGACATATTACATTTATTACCTTCAATTGCCCTTTGCGTGAAGTGTAGATAAATTCACATTAAACTAAAACCATCAGAATAAGACAACCACAAAAGGCTGGCTATCGGTCTTTACCTATCAATGACTAACTAAGCAAGCTGCAACAAAGTTCAAGTCTCTGACTGTAAACACAAACTTAGAGTTAACTACTATGTAGGTGTTTTCAAGACTTGCTTAATTAATTCAATGACTACTCGATAATGAAACAGTCAACAATGTTTTTATTATTCATTTGTCAAGTCTTATTGATGTGCATGCTGAACCTTTGTCATGTTTCCATCCAAAGTTGCAAATTTAACTTATGCACAAAATTGAAGTGAACACTGTGATGAGATTGGTCTGCTGGTTAGTCCAGTTATCCCATAACATCCTCTGTTTAAGACAGGGAATTGAGGGATTATCTGGTAAATGTGTTTCCATCGTAGTTCAGGTCTTCTTATCAGATAAAAAATGTATCTGCCTCAATTGAGTGCATACAGGTTTTTTATGTGCATTCTTAGAATTTATGTGCAATATTACAAAATGCTCGTAAAAATAGGTGGATAAAAACATACTTGATGTGCTTTGCATTGAAAACCCATCTCTATGAAAAAAAGTTTGAAAAATGGCCAAAGCGTCCTCAATATACATATGTTAACAATGATTTTCAAGGTCAAGTGATTGTTAAGAGTCAGCCAGACGGAACGTAACTGAGAAATAAATAATTATTGCTGGACAAGGGTAATAAGGGTGTCAAGTCATCTTAATTTATATTGTTTCAAAGCAGCTTTGCAGGAATAAATAGGAAAATAAGGATTAAATGATGCCAACAAAGTTCAATTCTGCTGTAAAACAGCTCTAAAAAGAAAATATTGTTAGTGTTGTCATGTTTTGTGTGAACACGTGGCTTATGAGTGGTTTCAGTGTTTTCAGTACTGTGCTGGTTCGTTGTCTAAACCTTGTCTGATGTTGCCTGATGTTTCCTGTCCATGCAGAGTCTAGTTGAAGTCTTGCCAACTGTCTTCGGTTGTTTTAATTTTTTACCTAATAAACACCCATCGACCTGCACTTATGTCCTCGCTACTTTCACCTACCCAAACCCTGACAGAACGAATCAGCCATCAGAGGACTCGGCAGACAATGGGTACCTTCCTCTTTCTATCTCCCTCCAATGGGGCCTCATTGGAGGATCAGATGGTCCAGCTTGTCCGGTACAGCTTGATTTGTCAAGAGGGTCGTAAAATCAAAGACTTTGTCTATGACTTTCTGGCTTTGGTGGATGACTTGGATTACAGCAATAATGTGGACCTCAAAAAGGTTTTTAACACCTGCCTCACAATGCTCTCATCCCTTAGGAGATGGTAAGGCTGGGGTACCTGCCGTTCTGGAAATTCGTGTGTCAGTTACACCAGCGTAAGAGGGCAGAGTCCCTTAGTAGCAAGAATTTCCACCAAACTGACTGTTCACCCCTTCCAGTCCACTGCAGTCAGTGGAAGCCCCAGCCCTCCAATGACCCCTAAAGAGAGGAGGAGGAAGAACGCCTCCGCTTCATCCGCTACCCTTTACTGAGTTAAGTGCTGTAGCGCCCCCAGTGGTGACCTAAGTGCCCCCTGAGGCACTAAGTTCCTTGTTACCGCCTTACTCTCATAAATGGAGAAAGAGGAAGAAATTTTCCTCCGCATCACAAGGCCAGGATGCCGTCCCAGAGCCGCTAACTCTTCCAGTCTGAGACACTGAAGCTGTTGCCGTCAGTCCTGCCTTGGCCAAGAGGGTGTTTTTCACTTTTTATTTCACTTTTAGCAACTTTTAGTTGCTGGCCTGAATGCCTGGGCAACACACACCTCAAGACTGGGCAGCTTCCTCCAGCCCTGTTGGTACCAACCCTGAGAAACCGTCCCTGAGAAAAGGGAAGGACGCCGTCCCTGAGAAGCCTATCCCAGGGCGACCAACTTTCCCTGTCTCAGCCACTGAGGCTGTTCCTGTCAGGCCTGCCTTGGCCAAGAGGGTGATTTTCACTTTTTATGCAGTTGCTATCCTGTGTCTGGGCAGCACACAGCTCAAAAATGGCCGCCCCCAGTCCTTATGGCACCCCGGATGCCATCCCTGAGCTGCCTGCTGTTGTTTCAGAGCCGAGGAGGCCATCCTAAAGCAGCCGCTGTTGTCCCAGAGCCGTCCGCTCTATCAGAAACTGCTATGGAGGCCATTCCAGAGTGTCTTGCACTGCCTGCTCCAACAAAATTCCCTGCACCAACATGGCTCTCAGGCAGGAATCCAAACCTGTCGAAGTCTACCTGGTCTGTTCCTCCATCACCGCCGTGGCCCTCATCCAGGAATCCAGACCCATCGGAGTCCCCCTGGTTCGTCCCTCCGGTACTGCCCTGGCCCTCTGCCAGGACTCTAGCCCTGCCTGAGCCTTTCTGGCTAAGCCCTCCCGTCCCTCCCTGGTCTCTGCAAAAGACTTCCTGGATTGTCATGATGGCCGTCTTGTGTTTTCTGTTGGTGAGTTGTCATGTTCATATCTTGTTTTTTGTGTTCCTCCTTGGGGATGCCAGGTGGTGTCCCTTTAGAGGAGGGGTAGTATCAGGGATCAGTTTTGTTGTGACAGCTACGACAAAACAGGAGTGTCAGGGCTCTGTGTGCCTTGTTTCGTTTAGTTTCATGTCATGTTTTGTCTTGGGCAGCTTGTGTTTACACATGGCTTGTCATGTGTTTCCTTGTGCCATGTGCTCTCCTGTCGATAGTCTAGCCCCTCCCATCTTGTTATCTGATTATTGATTCATTTGCCCCACCTCTCCTCTCTCGTTACCTGCTTTGTTTGCTCTCCCTATTTATTCTGCTTGTGTTTTCATTCCAGGGCTGGTTCATCGTCTAAATCTTGTCTGGTGTTGCCTCATGTTTCCTGTCCATGCTGAAGTCTTGCCACCTGTCTTGTTTTTCCTACGGGGTAGTTTTTGTTTGTTTTTGTTAAAAAAAATACTATTTTTTGCCATTATTCTCTGCATGTTATCTGAAGATCTGGCAGGTTGGATGGGGACTGTTGGTGGACAGCCCTTATAAGGTTTCTCCAAAGATTATTTATGATTGGGTTCAAGTCCAAGCTCTGGGCTGGGTCACTCAAGGACATTCACAGAGTAGTCAAAAAGCCACTCTTGCATTGTCTTAGTTGTGTGCTTAGGGTCATAGTCCTTTTGTAAGTTGGAACTTCTGGCCAGTCCGAGTTTCTGAATGCTCTGGACCAGGTTTTCATTAAGGTTATCTCTATATCTTGCTCTGTTGAGTTTTCCGTCTACCCTGACGAGTCATCCAGTCCCAGTCGCTGAAAAACACCCCCACAGCATGATGCTGCCACCACACTTAACCATTGGGATGGAATTGTGCAGATGATGAGCAGTGACTGGTTTCCTCCAGACATGACACTTGGAACTGAGGTTCATCAGACAAGATATTATTGGTTCTCACAGTCCTTTAGGAGTTTTTTGCAAATTCCAAGTGTCGCATTGACATTTGTCCATCTTTCTCCCATCTCAATATATGATCATGGAGTTCAACCAGAGTGACCACCTTGGTCACCACTTTTACCAAAGACCCTTCTCAATCGATTGCTCAGTTTGTCCAGCTTTAGGAAGAGTCCTGTTTGTTCAGAACTTCTTCCATTAAGGATAAGCATTAAACATTTATTTTATAGTCGTCTCCAGATGTGTGTATTGACAAAATTCTGTGTTTGAGCTCTGTAAGCCATTCCTTTGACCGGATGGCTTGGTTTTTAGGCTTTTCTACTGCCTGGTACGGCTCGGCTCGCTTTACTTTGACTCAGTTTTCTTTTCCAAAAGAGAGCTGTACCGAACCAGTCCATGCAGTGGAAAAGGGCCATTAGCTGTTATTGACAGGTGTGTGCCTTTCCAAATCATGTCCATTCAATTGAATTTGTCATAGGGTAACTCAAGTCAAAGTGTAGAAACATTTCAAAGATGATCCAGTGAATGCTCAGGAGCTATATTTCAAGTGTCCCAGATAAGGGTATGAATACTTATGCAATGTAATTGTTTCAGTTTCTTATTTTGATAAATTTGTAAAGTTATCACAAATCTGTATTTTGCTTTGCCATTATGGTGTATGGAGTGTAGATTGATGTGAAACAAATTAAGGGGTACAAATGCTTTTGCAAGGCACTGTATTGGTGTCAAACCACTTTTAATGCTCAAGCTCTAGCAGGATGGATTCTGATTGGCTGTCGATGTTTGTATTGTTCATCAGCTGAAAAAGGTATGGTTTATCTGTGTCACTATTATTATAGTTGTGGTGTGGACTCTGCTTTTCTTTTATTTTTAGAACAATTTTTAAAATGATATCTTTATCGCTATTGTTATCGTCCTTGGTGTAAATGCAGCCTAAGTTCTGAAAACAAATTCTGTCAGACAGATTTAGTTTAGATTGAGGAACTGCCTAGTTTAGATTTCAATCCACAATTAGTCAGTTCAGTGGGACGTTTCTGCATAACATCTCTAGTTCTTACCAGAGATTTTATATTATCTTCCCTTTTTCCACATAATGTAATGTATAGCATAGCCTACATTTACAGATTCATAGTTTTAATAGCCCTCAGTTTGCAGTTGGAAGAAAACATAAGGCAGGATGCTGGATAAAGTATTTCAAATACAAATAGATAAAAAAAATATCCAGTTCATATTGTCCAATTAATCAAACAAACAAGTAATCAACAGGATTATCAGAAAAATATAAATCCTTAGTTGCAGCCCTAACATTAAAACACGTTGTTTGATACATGCTAACACCACAAAGAAGGATGTTAGGGTAGGCACGTACAAACCCACCTTTCTTTGAACAATCGAGGCCCTGTCTTCCTTAATGCGCCTTTTCATCTGACATGACATCATCCTTCCCTTGAAAGCCTGTAAACAGAAGGATGTGGCCTTCAGCTTTACTTACAGGGGACACGCCTTTTTTTTTTTAAATCAAAGTCATCCACTGGATTCGCTAAATTTGAGAAATTCCATTTAAATTCCAGTCTTGCAGAATGCAACTATAACTGCCAGATCTTCTTTCATTTGCCTAAAATCATTTTAGACTTTCTAAGCATCGGCATTCTGATGTCTAATCATTTTTCACTTGAGGCCAGTCTAAATAAACAGCACAAGCAAGTCCTGATTGCACAAAGCAATACAGCTTAATTTGTGTTCCGGCAGCACATAGAAGTCCCCATCTGAGAATTTCAACAAATTTCACCACCACAAAACTGAAAACATCTGCCCGTGTCCAAAGCAGTGAGTGAGCAATGTAGCCAAATGTTCTTTGCATACTAATCAACATAATTTGATTCAAGCACAAAAAATTAAGCCGTCACAACAGTCGCAAACAACCATTGAAGCTGAACAAATACCAAAATAAAACTACAGATCCACTCCTCCATGGGTTCTGCTTGAGGTTTCATCCTATATCTCCTTTTCATGCAAGTTTTATTCTTTTTTATGTAAGTTTTCCTTGCCCAGGACTTAGAGACCTAGAACCTTTGCATATTCCTAACTACTGTTAAAACTACTGAACTGAGTCACATCTGAATGAATAAACCAAAGTGAAATTAAATGGGAACATGATTGTGGATGTTAATGAGCAGCGGTTCCTAGTGATGTGCCTCTATGCGTATGGCAGTAAGAACAGTGACAATCATTAACATTTTTTATTATAGTATTCCAGTAGTTACAGTTACAGGTGATCTGTTTGTGCTTACCATGCTGCTCGGTCATATTCCCCCCAGATGCGCACAAACTCGTCCAGGTGGTGAGGTCCAAGAATGGACGAGTCTCGTGTCAAATACTCAAAGTTGTCCATAATCACAGCCACAAACAGATTCAGCATCTAAAGGACAAATAAAGGTGCAAAATTTTAGATGTAGGCCAAGTGAAAAAATGCCAGTAATTTAATATTAAAATATCTATGGACCCTTTTCACATTTCCAGGGTTCTCAGAAGCGGAGGTCCACAGCAAATAATTTTGGCCCATTTGTCCAATAGCAAAAGATAAAATCAAAGAAAGTGATTCAATAACTTTCCAAAAAAGGGATAATATTACAGTTTTATATCAGTCACAGAATTAGAAACACTCATGCAGCAGCATTAACTAGTTTTCTGAAATGTAATGCCAAGGTAATATGACACAAAGTACAGTGTTATAAATGTGTATTAACTTTAAAAAAAGTAACTAATATTAGGATTAATACTAAGTATAAGGATGAGTATGTTAAGATGTTTCAGTGGGTAAGCTCTGCCACCCTTTAATCTAGCCGCATGTGCTTTCGTTGTGTAAAGATATATTTAGAAAGGACTCATGTGACTGAGAGATGCACATGAGAAAATTGTGAAGAATTTTGAATGTTCTACATGACACACTTTTTTTCGCACTTAACTAATTCACACTCACAAATCAAGGCACTTATTATAACCTCTTAAAAAAGAGGTTGTTTACTACAAATATTGTTGGCTTTTATGACTAATTGCTTTCTTCGAATTTCAGAAGATAGTAGACATCCCAAAATATCATTAGGTTTATTAGTTTTACCCTTATTTTTGAGTACTTTGAACTTGAGTAAAAATGGCTCAGTCTACCCCACTTTCCCATTTACATTTTAGCCCCTTAGCTGTCACCCCCCTTTTTGAAAATGGGGGTTAAAATGCACTATACAAACCTAAATGGTTTTAATTCAAGAATGCTTTGGAATATATTTGAAATTTATGAATGAATTTATGAAAAGTTTATGGAAGTAAATCAAATAAACAAAATATCAAATATAGTAAGTAAATCAGTAAATCAAATATACTGTAGTATATATTTTTTATTTTATATAAAATATATATTTTACAAAATATTTTTTAATCTAAAATTACTATAAAATCAAAGCCATAAATCTAACCAAGTGATGTTCGTTCCAAATTTGAAGTTGATATCACAAAAAATCCCATGAAAGTTCCCATGAGATTTTATTTAGGCGTAGTACCAAAAATAGCCACCGGGAGCCATTGAATTCCATTTAATTTAGTTGTATACATCCTATCAATTCTGTCACAAAATTTGGAATCTTGAGACTCAGACCTTTATGACAGTGTGTTTTGTTAAGATTAGAAAAGGTTTTGATCATAAATTATGAGGTACAATGATGCCCAAAAGGGGAGGAGCCTGATAAAATAAGTTCAAACGCAACGTTCAATTATAAAACGGTTTTCACAGGATGAATTCTGAGTTTATAAGCTTTCAAATGATCCCTAATTTATGATACCTACTAAAATATGTGATATAATAAAAAGGTGATAAAAATATTATATTTTAGAGGATAATATATATATATATATATATATATATATATATATATATACGCCAATTAAAATATAGTATAATATATATATATAGACCTTATGTAGCCCCGCCCCTTTTTAGCGCTGCGCTTGTTGTGTTTTGACTTCCGGTCTGTATGTTCACAGCGATCTTGCATAGGTATGAATGAACTGCTCGTAAAAAAAAAAAATTCATGGTCGACATTTGTTAAGACATCTGCTTTACAATGCTTATGATAAACATTACAATGCTTATGATAACTTTTGTTAACTCTACAATAAGTAAATCCACTTCACCAGCTAATTACTCCTCGACAGCGATGCCATAGAAATATACAGAGCGACCGCAAAATCGGAAGTTCAAAGACAATATTCTAAAGATGACTGCGCCCACGTTTCTCTGGTGCACAAGGTCTATATATATATATATATATATATTATATTATATTATATTAATTGGCGTCCCGGTACCGGGACGGTGACAGTTAAGGGGTTAGCCTTTACTTTGCATTAAACGGTCACTGTGTCTTAACAACTTAGTTTGACCAACTAGCAGTTAACCGATGTGTAATCCATCTTACAAGGATACAATCTACCTTTTTATGTAACTGACTTTACTACCTATCTTGAAGCAAACATTTAGATGACTAACTTTTAAGTCTAGTCTAAGCAGTTTATTCAACTGTCCACTGCTGGACAACATGTTGATGAACTCTTACCAAAAATGAGCTGAAAAAGATGAAGGAGACAAAATAGAAATAGGCAAAGTCAGTGCCACAGCCCCCTTCATGGTCTGGAGAAGTGAAAGGTGGTACTATTGAAGGGTCTGGTTCACACTCCTTCCCTTCAAGACATGAGAGCATGATCTCTTGCCAAGACTCTCCAGTGGCACTTCTGCAAGAAGCAAAGTATTATATTTACACAGGAATAAAGCCAAACATTAGAATGAAACACCTCTTAATTAAAGGATTAGTTCACCCAAAAATGACAATTCTGCCTTTATTTACTCACCCTCCTGATGTTCCAAAGTTTTTTTCAGCGGAACAAACATGAAGAATTTTTGAGTCTTCATACAGTTTTTATACTGTTCGAAAACAGTTCATAGTGACCACAATTGTCCAAAAGGACAAAATATATCGTAAAAGTAAAAAAAAAGTGGTCTTGTTCTTTGTGTGAAGAACTATTTTTTTTATCCCTTTCCATAATCCTTTAATGGTACTTTTTAGTATGTTTCAGTGAAAAGTATTATAATTTTGGGGTGAACTAAAATGAAAAGTCAACCTTACAGCTTATATCATATTTGGGAACCATGGTATTTTTAACGCTAAATTTCACTAAAGAAGAATACAATATAATAATGTGCCCCCAATGGCTTCATTAATCGTTTTATTATGCCATATTCAGTCTAATTCAATATACAATTGAAATTTCTACATCATAAACATTTTAAAATTGTTTTATTGGTCACACTTTACAGTAGATTAGGGTTCAATTCTCAATAACTAACTATTAATTATGACTTTTGCCTCAATAAACTCATAATTACTGCATATTAATGGTTAGTAAGTTAAGTTTAGGTATTGGGCAGAGTCAAGGGATCTAGAATATGGTCATGCAGAATAAGGCATTCATATGTCCTTTACTAATAAACAGCCAATATTCTAGTAATATGCATGCTAATAAGCAACTAGTTAATAGTGAGAACTGTACCCTAAAGTTTAACCAATGTCAAATGTCCATATTTTTAAATACATTTTCTCTCAGTGTTTTGTGATCTTACCTAAAGAGCAGCATCAAGGCACCAAAGAATGTCTTGAAATTGTTGTGTTGATTAATGTGGCTTTCATCAGTCAATTTAATATTCCCAAACACCTAAAGAATGAAGAAGATATTACAGTGTCACGGTTCTGTTCAGTTAGTTTCATTTTCATGGACTTTTAGTTAGTTTTTCCTTCTTTGTCTTAGTTTCCCGCCACTCATTTGTCTCCGTGATTATGAGTTCTGTGTTTCAGCTGTGTTTGATTTATCATCTTGTTTGTGTTTGCTTTAATAGTTGTACCCTTACAGTCACTCTTTGTCTGGTCACCATCTATATTTGTGGTTGTGTTTTGTTTGCCTGCCTGTTTGGATTTCCTTCTAAGTTGATTATTAAAGACTTTTGAAACTTGATCATCATCGTTTTGTTCTTCTTCCCTTCAACCTTGCGTGACAAATACAGAATCAGATGTACACCAAGCATTTTTAAACTTCATATCACTACTCAAAAAGCCAGACCCTTCCGACAGGTCTTTGATTCTTTAAAATCTCTGGCCTACATTGTTAAACAGAATCGAAAAATCTAAATAATAATTTATATGTGTGCCAGAAAAAATAAAAATAGAAAAAAAAGAAAAGGCTAGTTATGGCACTATCTGACATTTTACACACTTTAACACACAAACTAAAATAGAGTTCATCTGTTGCAAATCTTTTGAATTGAAAAATAAATTAGAAGAGAAATGTGTAGAGACTGAGCTGCCAAAATATAATTACATTCTTAAGTTTAGGGAAGTATTCAGCTAATACCATTAAATTACAAAGTTAGGTGTGGTCACCGGAAAGGAGAGAGTTGAACCGTAGAACTATACTCCCATTATTGAATCTAGAAACACTCTGAAACACACCAGAACAGGAATACCACAGGAGTATATCAAACCAACACTACTTCTATTTCAACACTACTACGTTCACACTGCAGGCTGAAACAACCTAATTCTGATTTTTTTGCCCCTATGCGACCTGTATCTGATTTTTTCATGACAGTCTGAACGACAGATCTGATCTTTTCAAATGCGACCGAGGCCACTTGGGTATGTGGTCCAAATCCGATATGTATCCGATCTTTTGAAATGCGACTTCAATCTGAACGGCCAGGTCACATCCGACCCACACGTCATTGCACGCACCTGTAGCTAGCCAATACACGCTAACTCCAACGCGTTTCTGCACTGTTATGGGCCACTGCAGACGTGTCTCTTCCCCAGTGTTGTGCCTGAACGCGTTCAATGAACGATAGTGCATGAACGCGTTCATAAACATACCGTATTACTGCCTGATGAACATTACTGTGAACACGTTCATTCTGGTGTCTGTGAACATGCGCTCTCTGTCAGTTTAACTTCGTACAGTAGGGTGCCAGATTTCTATAGAGCCTTCCAGGCGAAAACCTGGTTAAAGCACATGTAAACATGCCTTAGAATGTAGCGAAAAAACACCCAATCTGGCAACACCAGCCACCAGTGTCGCACCGCCGGTGACAAAGCAAGGAGCGCCGAGGACGCGCACTATCAATTAAACGACGAGGTCGGTGAGGATCGGAAAAATCTTACAATTATGTGAAAACTTTGCCCGCCGATAAAATAATTGTTGTCTGTGTTTGTATATGGGCTGTGGCAATAATAATAATAAAACAAAAGCTTGCAACATATGGGAAAAAAGAATTATTCCCCAAACAAGTGACGTCGTTGACCGTTGATTACTCTTCTGCGCATGCGGCTCACTTCTGGGTCATTTCATGTTCACACAGGAGATCACAAAAGGTCACATTTAATTGGAAATGTGAACGGCCTTGCAAAAAAATCGAATTTTTTCAAAAAATCGGAATTGAGCATTAAGCCCTGCAGTGTGAACGTAGCCTAAGATTCGGGCCATCCCCGGGCTATACGCTTCCGGGGGGTAGACTGCTGATTACAGATACAGTTAATGAAAATGAAAACCCTGGTCCTCCTGGTATCCAGTAATGCTGCAGCAGTGAAGCCATGGCCAGGGTTGCCAAGACTCTGGACTGAAGTATCACCTCCTCTACAATGACAACCTGCAATGACTGGAAGAACCTTCCCTTCTTTGAGAAGCCTGGGCATGCATAGGCATCACCAACACCCAGGAATGGATAAAACTCCTTCAAAAGCAGAGGAAGGCGTGGACAACACAGGAAGCAGACCACCTAATTGAACTTGCAAATGCTGAATGGAGGAAGAACATGCTAAAAGGATGCTAAACATGCATTTGAGGATTCTTCAGTCAATTCCCTCTCACCACTCAATCGACTCCAAGAAGAGACCGCAACTGTTAGAATGGACACCTCCTAAGCACAGTCAACGTATGAGGAGTCAGACATCCTCTCCCCAAGTGGTGCCAATGGACTCACTTCCGAATGAACATCTCTCGGACCAATCATCACTGTCAAAAAGGCAAAAGCAATCAAGCCATTCTCCAGGTTAGCCTGCGAAGAAATCTCCATTTCTGGAAAGAGTAAGGATGAATGAATTTCAGAGTGCGAGAGTTCTAATCTGGTCCAAGAAAGAAGATCTGCTAGAGCAGACTGGAAAGATATGGGTTACAGGAATGCTGAAAAAAAGATCTGATAAAGCACTGGGCGAGGTAGTAACAGGAAGAACAATTGAGAAAATCGCAATTTCAGAATTACCAATTTTGAAATCACCATATAGGCTGAAAGATCAAATGAATGGCTCTCCAGTGGTTGAGTCTACATCTGAGAGAAGAGTGGAAGAGTTACAGACTACAACCAAGAAAATGTTGGAAAAGGCGATGGAAAGTTTGAAACTTTACAAGCAGCATATTGAGGATTAGACCGATGACTTTATGGTAGATGATGGCCATAGGCTTACCATCCTTGATGTATCCATAGTAGCGGGTTGATGTAAGATTTAAGTTGAAGATTGGAAAATCCTGGTCCCCAGACAACGTTTTAAGTTTTCAATTAAGTTAATGACTGACACCACCGCACTGATTCAACACCACCCAGTGATCATGTCAAGTCTGACCAAGCGAGACCTGTCTGACCTCTGTCTACTAACAATTGTTGGATCATGAAAATGCTATGATCTTTTTACACAAGGAACTGCAATAGCAGCAATAACCTTGCCACAGCTCACTATTAGCACCTCTTTGGGCGCCTCAAGTGGAATTCCATCTCTACCACTATGATGAATTGATTACTTGTCAATAGATGAGAACAGACAAAGGACTGAGTTATGCATGTAACAGCTGTTCCCAGAAGGAGGAAAACAAAGTACAGCATGATTATGGGACATCTAAAGACCCCTCTATTGGTACGTTTTGGTCGATGGGATTACGGTGTTGTACTGAGTATACAGACTGATTAAAAGCAAAGAAAACAGGAACTACGAAATGAAATAAAATTCAAAATAAGAGTCTTAGGACACAAAAAACACAGGCAAGAAATGACATTTGTAAAGTTTACATTTTCGACAACAGCCATGCATATTGGTGTGAAAAACGTACCTGCATGCCAATAATGGCGTAAATGAAGAAAAGCATGGCAATGAGGAGGCAAACATATGGAAGAGCCTGAAACAAGAAGCGATTCAACATGTTAAACATCACATAAAGATTCAGATTCTATACAGACAGAACAGTCAATTACTTCCTTTCTAGTCATTTATGACACCTGGATATTTTTTTTACCTTTACAAATAATTTTACATAGATAGCTGGGTGGATTTGTAGTTGTCTTGACTGATTTAAATGATTTTTGTATAAATCCACATTATGATGGACAGGCACTGGACTGTGAGAATATATTTTATCCAACACAAACAATTTTTAGTCCATTTTGTTGTTGTAGTTGTTGTTGTTGAGCTGAACCAAACTATATATATAAAAGTCATGAAAAAAATAAAATAAATTATATATATATATATATATATATAAAATTTATTTTATTTTATTTTTTTCATGACTTTTCTAAGACTTCTATGACTAAAATGTTGGAAATTTCTATACATTTTCCAGACCTGTAAATAACATTTGTAAAATTACTTGGGTTTATTTTCTTCAGGTTTTTAATGAGCATGAAGGACAGTAATGCATTTAGTGCAAAAGTAATTTTACCTTGAAGGACTGAACAAACGTCCACAGCAGAATCCGTATTGTGTAGCCTTGTCTCAACAGTTTAATGAGTCTAGCTGCCCGGAAGAGCTTTAGAAAACTCATATTGATGGTGTTCACAGACTAAATCGAAAGAGAGAAGAAAACAATTGTGTACTTGTGCCAAAGGTTACTTGATAAGACAATTTATCTTGTTTTAATGATTTTTTAAAAATTAATATATATTTTTAGAAAAGTAGTTAAAAAGAGGGGGTCCAGAGCTAACAAACCCTAGCGACAGCAGTGTTACGCACTCTTTAATTCATATTCAGACCCATACATGTGAAATATTCCTACCTGTAAATCTACCACAATTTCAGTTATACTCCCCAGCACTGTGATAAAATCAAAGATGTTCCATGTATCACGGAAATAGTTCTGTGAGTGAAAACAATGAACAAGTATATCAATTCAAATACATTATACATGTATTCTCCTTTGAAGGACACTCATTAACATCAATGTGATGTGATTAAACTCACTATGAATCCAAAGGCCATGATCTTTAAGATGCATTCCAGAGAGAAGAGCACAGTGAACGCTGTGTTGAGGTGCTTCAGGACAACGTCGTAGGCAGCTGGCGCAGAGTGGTACTGAGAAGTGTGAAGGTTATCAGATCAGATATGCTGTATACACCTCAAAGGATTATATTTCAGATATTTCAGCAAGTTCAAGACCAATTAATGGGCATTAACATCAACATAAAATTTTAGAATTACATTTAAATGAACATAATTCTTTCCAAGTCATTGCATTTGGAAAGTTATACCTTCATCATGAGCACTACTGTGTTGAGTGCAATCATGACTAGAACCGTGTACTCGAATGATGGTGACACCACAAAGTGCCACAATCGGTACTGGAGGGTCTGCCTGTTCTGAGGCATATATCTTGTTAGGGGTTTTGCGCTGATAGTAAAGTCAATGCATGCCCGCTGGAAGAGTGAGATAAGAAAGCAGTGAAGGAATATGCAGGTTAGTATGGAATATACGTATACACTCGTAACATGGAATATACGTATACACTCACCTAAAGGATTATTAGGAACACCACACTAATACTGTGTTTGACCCAATTTCGCCTTCAGAACTTCCTTCATTCTACATGGCATTGATTCAACAAGGTGCCGAAAGCATTCTTTAGAAATGTTGGCCCATATTGATAGGATAGCATCTTGCAGTTGATGGAAATTTGTGGGATGCAACATCCAGGGCACGAAGCTCCCGTTCCACCACATCCCAAAGATGCTCTATTGGGTTGAGATCTGGTGACTGTGGGGGCCATTTTAGTACAGTGAACTCATTGTAGTGTTCAAGAAACCAATTTGAAATGATTTGCGCTTTGTGACATGGTGTGTTATCCTGCTGGAAGTAGCCATCAGAGGATGGGTACATGGTGGCCATAAAGGGATGGACATGGTCAGAAACAATGCTCAGGTAGGCCGTGGCATTTAAATGATGCCCAATTGGCACTAAGAGGCCTAAAGTGTACCAAGAAAACATCCCCCACAATATTACAGCACCACCACCAGCCTGTACAGTGGTAACAAGGCATGATGGATCCATGTTCTCATTCTGTCTACGCCAAATTCTGACTCTACCATCTGAATGTCTCAACAGAAATCGAGACTCATCAGACCAGGCAACATTTTTCCAGTCTTCAACTGTCCAATTTTGGTGAGCTCTTGTAAATTGTAGCCTCTTTTTCCTATTTGTAGTGGACATGAGTGGTACCCGATGGGGTCTTCTGCTGTTGTAGCCCATCCACCTCAAGGTCGTGCGTGTTGTGTCTTCACAAATGCTTTGCTGCATACCTCAGTTATTTCAGTCAAAGTTGCTCTTCTATCAGCTTGAATCAGTCGGCCCATTCTCCTCTGACCTCTAGCGTGAACAAGGCATTTTCGCCCACAGGACTGCTGCATACTGGATGTTTTTCCCTTTTAACACCATTCTTTGTAAACCCTAGAAATGATTGTGCGTGAAAATCCCAGTAACTGAGCAGATTGTGAAATACTCTGACCGGCTCATCTGGCACCAACAACCATGCCACGCTCAAAATTGCTTAAATCACCTTTCTTTCCCATTCTGACATTCAGTTTGGAGTTCAGGAGATTTTCTTGACCAGGACCACACCCCTAAATGCATTGAAGCAACTGCCATGTGATTGGTTGATTAGATAATTGCATTAATGAGAAATTGAACAGGTGTTCCTAATAATCCTTTAGGTGAGTGTATATAAAAAAGCTTGATGCATAATTCAATCTACTGGATATTGAGGTCATATATTTGGCTTTTTACTCACTGCATGTTGCATACATTCATTGCATATGAATGTATATTCACCTCATTTTTCTCCAAGTTGCACTCCTCCATCATTTTGTCACCCTGCTCCTGGAATGTGATTATGATGAGGGCAACAAAGATGTTGACAAAAAAGAACGGAAAAACCACAAAGTATACGACATAGAAAATGGACATCTCCATTCGGTTTCCTCTGCTTGGGCCGTGGTTTTCTTCAGTGACATCCACCGAGTGTTGAAGAACTCTGTAGAAAGCAGGGATATGAACAAATAATGCATGTATTCAATGAATTCAGCCAATAATGAAAGTCACCTTTGACCATTCATAATTGCAGCAATATTATTGATTTGACTGATCTGACACTATCGGATGAGAACTGAGCTGAATTGAACTCAACTCAATTCCATAATTGAGAAAACTTACACCATTCTTGAACCAAACTAATCTACCCTGAACTGGCTTCAGTTAAACCCTTGTGCATCCTTATGGACATTTTTGTCCTTTTCAGTATTGTTTTTTTGATCACTTTGCCTGTGTTAAAGCTAACTGCAAAAAAACTTGGCACAGGTGTGTATTTTTATTGGAATTTTACTATTTCACCGTCATTTTCTTAAAAAAATATTTTTTGCATTAGGTACAAAAAATACTCCCTCTCAGCACCTTTTGGACAAAAATGTCCCCATTGAAACCCATTAAAACTGCCATTTTTAATCCCCGGTTCAGTTAACTATAAAATTATGCAATCTTTGTTAAGAGGCTTTCATTCTGATGGCAAGGCTTCAAATTTTAATTTTTTTACTATTTTTTATCAGATGGTGCCATTTTTTTTTAAGTTTGGCCTATAAAACAAATATCGCTTTATTCCTGTTTTCTACTTCGGCATACTACAGAGCCAACTGGATAAATTATGCAACAATATTTGTGTGGGTGTGTTGGTATGGATGTCAGAGTGTGGTTAGTATGTGTGTTATAAAAACTATGTGTGTGTTTGTGTGCGCATGTGTGTGTTTGTAATACTGAGAGAGAAAAACTGCAAATTCAAATCCAATCACTGTGAGCTCCAGTGGGGTTTTGCTGAAAATATGTTACTACGCCCAAACAAACTGTTACCGAAAGGTCATTTTTTGAGATATCAACCTCAAATTTGGAACACAACCTATTTAGATTTATGGCTTTGATTTTATTGCAGTTTTGAGTTCAACCTGATTTATAAAATAAATATTTTATATAAAATATTTTTTATAAATAATTTTCATAAACTTATACCTATATAACTTTTTTTTGGATTTACTTATTATTATTTTTTTTACTTCAGCAATAATCTGCAAAGGGTCTTCTTTAAAATGATACCAAAATTAAGTCTGTGCTCCAAAGCGTCACATTTTTATGACATGGACATTTTTGTCCTCTTTTTACCTATGTGTAACTTTTTTTAATTGATGCACAAGGGTTAAAGAAATGGCACTATTGTCTTTTTAGAGCTATTTTACTACAGAATTTAATTCTGTTTGCATCGTTGATCATTACTTCCATGTTTATCACTGTAAAGCTGTATTATATAAATCACAGTCTTTAATAGAGGTCAGATTTTAGTAAGTCAAATCTGCAGCTTCTTGCTTCTTCATAGACATGCTACTCAACCCAAAGTGAATTCATCAATGACACATTGTTTTCCTGGTCTTTTTTTAAACACCAAATCTTTACATTTTCTTTACAATTTATTTTCTTAACATACGAATCGTAACAAACAGAGGTGTCATGCAGGTCAAAAACGCAGACTACGCTTGAGAAGTTAACTGTGAACTTCTATCTGACACAAAATCTTCAAGCCTCCCATAATATCTGAACACGACTAAATAAGTTGGCTGGCTGATCACAGGGACCAATTTGCACGTCAATAATTACCATAATTGGAGAAAATTGTTGTATTTAAATAAGATCTGTTATGAAATCCACTCAAAGAGGGGTCTTGCAGAATTTGCAAAGGTTTTAGGAGATCTGAGAGCATTTATTCAAACTACACACAGTGTATTATTGGACAATTAACAGCATCACGGCTCTCATAACTGCACGACCTTGAAGACGTGTTTCTTTCGGAGGCCAATGTTTCTGAGCTCTCTGAATCTACTTCATAAATGCCATTTAAAAAAACAGATGAATCTTAAATTCAGATGGGATCTTGCTTGCCTTTGCTGCAACTACAGTTCTCTATTACCCACATCCAAAATCTTTAAAAAATGACATGGTAGAATCAAACTGTGCTTTGAGTCGATCAGATGTTCTCCTCGAGATTTCTTCTATTTAAAGTAGTTTGCCAACACAACCTCATGGCAATTCATAACCATTTTATGTTTTGACGAATGATATGATTTCTAACAATCTCATCCGTATGTTTTTGTATGATCTGCTTGCGTCCCAGTGATGGTAGGTTTGAAGGTCGGGATGGGGTGGAACTTCATGCTTACTATTTTCTGATAATCGTACATTTCTGTACGATTCACATTCATTCGAATTTGTGCGAAATCATGACCTCATAACAGTTATTCTTTCCAGTGAGATTTCCTCAGTTCCTCTTGGATTTTCTGTCTCTTCATGTAACTCTGGACTGATTTGATGGTGATGATGATGATGATGATATCATATCTCTGTGTGGGCCATGCCATCTGTTGTATTTCTACTTTTCTTTATACAAACATTTCACTTATAATCTTAAAATAAATCTTTTTAGACTTTTCGCACAGCACATATACAGGGGTTGGACAATGAAACTGAAACACTGGCCAATGTTGGAGGTTTCACATCTATCTGCCTGGCGGCCAATCTTCAGAGTGAAGCACGGGTGGATCAGTGATGGTTTGAGCTCCAATATCATGACAATCCTGATTGTATTTGATGGACACGACACTGCCGAGGACTACCAAAGCCTTCTGGAGGATCATGAGCACCTGATGCTCAAACCGTGTATCAGCATGATCATGCACCAACACACACAGCAAGACTTGTGACAGAAGGGTTTGATGAAGATGAAAGTGACGTTGAACATCTCCCATGGTCCGACAGTCACCAGATCTGAATATTATTGAGGTGTTTTGGAGGAGCGAGTCCACCAGCATCATATAATGACCTGGACACTGTTCTGGAAGAGGAACGGCTCATAATCCCTCTGGTCACTGTGAAGGACTTTTATCTGTCAATTGGTGCTGTATTTGGATGCAAAATGAGGCTGTGACGTCGTGCGGAGAAACAGAGCTGAGGCTGGGTCCAAACGCAGTGTAGCTTTATTAAGCAAACTTAAAACAAGACACTAGAAGCAAGAAACTTGAGAGCACCAACGCAACACACATAAATTCAAACAACCAACCAAGACAGGGCAGAAACACAGGGCTTAAATAATCAAGGACAAACGAGCTAGACAAGATAACAAGGGGGCGTGAGAAATGAGAAACACCTGGGATAAATAATAGACGGGCAATAACTAATAACGAAAACACACAAAATCACTACGTGACATAGCCTCCCCCCTATGGGCGGCTCCCGACGCCCATACAAAAAACAAACAGTTCAGGAGGGCGGTGAAGCGGAGACAGTCTTGGGGGAGGGACGGAGGGCCAGGCCCGTGCAGGGGAACAGGACCAGGAGGTAGCCAAGGCGGGCCTGGGCCGCAGAGCATGGGCATACCAGACTGGGCCGGAGACCAAGGCGGAGCAGGACGAGGCGGAGGCCAGGGCGGAGCAGGACGAGGCAGAGGCCAGGGCGGAGCAGGACGAGGCAGAGGCCAGGGCGGAGCAGGACGAGGCAGAGGCCAGGGCGGAGCAGGACGAGGCAGAGGCCAGGGCGGAGCAGGACGAGGCAGAGGCCAGGGCGGAGCAGGACGAGGCAGAGGCCAGGGCGGAGCAGGACGAGGCAGAGGCCAGGGCGGAGCAGGACGAGGCAGAGGCCAGGGCGGAGCAGGAAGAGGCGAAGGCCAGGGCGGAGCAGGACGAGGCGAGGTCCATGTCTGCATCGCCTCCATGGCCCTCACAGGGTACCTACTGCCCCCCCCCAAAAAATACTTGGGGAAATTCACGGGAGGAGCCCCTGGGTGGCGAACGGGCACAGGAAAGGCCTCCCGGAGCCTGAAGGGCGCAGGCAGAGCGAGGCGCAGAGGCGGGGCCGGCAGAGCGAGGCGCAGAGGCGGGGCCGGCAGAGCGAGGCGCAGAGGCGGGGCCGGCAGAGCGAGGCGCAGAGGCGGGGCCGGCAGAGCGAGGAGTCTGGGCACGCTCACCGGGGCCTGGCGAACCAAACGAGTCCTCCTTCTCCTCCTCCTGCGGCGGCGCGTCACAGGGCTAGACACACTCGCTGGGCTGGACAACTCACTCACTTGAAGAGGAGATGCAGCGCTCACTTGAAGAGGAGATGCAGCGCTCACTTGAAGAGGAGATTCAGCGCTCACTTGAAGAGGAGATGCAGCGCTCACTTGAAGAGGAGATTCAGCGCTCACTTGAAGAGGAGATTCAGCGCTCACTTGAAGAGGAGATTCAGCGCTCACTTGAAGAGGAGATTCAGCGCTCACTTGAAGAGGAGATTCATCCACTTGAACTGGAGATTCATCCACTTGAACCGGAGATTCATCCACTTGAACCGGAGACTCATCCACTTGAACTGAAGATTCACTCACTTGAACAGAAGACTCAGCCCTCACTTGAACTGGAGATTTATCCACTTGAACAGGAGATTCATCCACTTGAACAGGATCACTCACTTGAACTGAAGATTCACTCACTTGAACCGGAGACTCATCCACTTGAACTGGAGATTCATCCACTTGAACAGGAGATTCATCCACTTGAACAGGAGATTCATCCACTTGAACAGGAGATTCATCCACTTGAACAGGAGATTCATCCACTTGAACAGGAGATTCATCCACTTGAACAGGAGATTCATCCACTTGAACAGGAGATTCATCCACTTGAACAGGAGATTCATCCACTTGAACAGGATCACTCACTTGAACTGAAGAGTCACTCACTTGAACCGGAGACTCATCCACTTGAACTGGAGATTCACTCACATGAACAGGAGATTCCCTCGCGGGGCTCACGTGAATCGCGAGTTCGGCTGGGCTGACGCGAAGCGCGGGCTCGGCTGGGCTGACGTGAGTCGCGGGCTCGTCAATGCGCATGTGAAGCGCGGGCTCGTCGTGACTGACGTGAACCAGCGATGAAGACAACGAGGGCTTCGCGGGTAAAGTACACTCGGCAGGTGTCGAGTAGAATAAGCGCGCAGTAGTGAAGAGGTCCTGCAAGGAACAAGCCCGAGCGACATAACCGTCAAGAGTCCAGTTGGCAAGGTCCCGCGGCATCCATCGAGCGATCTCATAATCCAGCCCATTCAGAAACAGGCCCATGAGCTGGATATCATCTAGCGCTCCCACACTGCTAATGGACAGGAACTCCTTCGCGTACCTTTGGACAGACCGGCCCTCTTGCAAGACTGACGACAGGTATTCTGTCATAGCCCGGTTGCTGACGACTGCTGGACCCATATTGAGGTTGGTTGTTCTGTGACGTCGTGCGGAGAAACAGAGCTGAGGCTGGGTCCAAACGCAGTGTAGCTTTATTAAGCAAACTTAAAACAAGACACTAGAAGCAAGAAACTTGAGAGCACCAACGCAACACACATAAATTCAAACAACCAACCAAGACAGGGCAGAAACACAGGGCTTAAATAATCAAGGACAAACGAGCTAGACAAGATAACAAGGGGGCGTGAGAAATGAGAAACACCTGGGATAAATAATAGACGGGCAATAACTAATAACGAAAACACACAAAATCACTACGTGACAGAGGCCCTCACCATTCTAACAAATTATTGTGTAGTAAAACCAGGTGTTTCAGTTTTTTTGTCCAACCCCTGTACTTGTCCAGCAGTTTTCTGAAATCTCGATAAGTCCTGGTAACTGTTAAGAGATTTTTTTTTTCCATTAAACACTGCCAAAGCTTTCACAATGTGACATCTATTATGTTTGAAGAGAAGCCCAGGTCTTTCATGTTTGACATTTTTGGATTCAATTTGCTCTTACACAGAAAGTTCTCTCAAAGCCCAGTGCTTCATTGTTATGGATTTAAGTCCTCTGATTTCGGATTGTTTAATGAGCAGTAAAACCTTGTTATATTAACATATTAATTTATTTTAAATGAATTTGAACTGTTTCAGTAATTAGAATAAGGTTATTTTTTTTTCACCATCATGTCTTTAAGCAGGCAGTGATGCATAAAGAAATGCATCGTCTATATGTATAACTAAACTAGAAAAAAACAACAAAAAAACGTATTTAGCATCTCATGCAAATCTCTTACATATTCAACTATATTCATACGTACATCCCCATTCTCCAGCTCTACTGTAACAGAATTTATAGGCCAACCTGTCTGACACCAAAACATAGAGAGCTAAATCTATACTGACACAAACTTCCTTGGCAGATGTGTTACTAGTACTCGAGAAGGCAACAAAATAGCCCAGCACTGACAGGACTCTTCCTTCCAGAGAAGTCCCCATGCTTTTCTGATCTCCTCACAGGCGCCGAACAATCTTGGGAGCTGACCAAAAATGCATCACATGTTGCCTAATTCTCAGTCTTGATGCTCTGTAACATTCATTAAGAAACATCCAGAGCTTCCCATAACCCTACTTCACCAAACCATTGAGTGTGACCTGATATATCAACATTAGGGCTGTCAGTTTAACGCGTTATTAATTGCGTTAACGCAAACCCATTTCAATGGCGTTAATTTTTTTATCACACGACTAACGGTCTTTTTGGCCTAGCAAACTTTGTAGTTTTTTTCACATGCTTTTGCAACAGGATGCAGCATGCGCTATGAAACTATGAAAGCTATGAAAGGACGTTTTGTTATTCGTAGGGCTGGGTATTGTAACAAAATGTTTGATACCGGTTCCTGAACGATACCTTTTTTGATACCAATTTTATGTAACCAGTTTAAACAATATTATATTACCTACATTTTTATTTTATTTTTCAATTTGTTGACTTTTTCACACTCATATTTTGAGTATGTAAAAAGCCCCAATGCTAAAGTTTTCTGTTTCCTAACAATTTAACAACATCTTAATGCATTGTTTAATGAAACTGAATGAAAATTAATTGAAATGCATTAGACTCTCACCTCTGATAACAGATCATCACACTAAATTGTAATTTAGAAACATGCATTTTCTGTAAAGCTGCTTTGAAACGATATGTATTGTGAAAAATGCTATACAAATAAATGTGAATTAAATTAAATATAGGCTACTGGGGGCGGGATTTATGCCTTGCACTCAGCACACATGAAGCTTGCCGCAAAGCACTGGCAACAGTAGCCTAATGATCAGACTGATCTCATGAAGTATGCCACGCCAATTCGTATTTCCATTTTTGGCGTGCTATCAAGACGCATAATCGCCTTTCAGCGTGTTTATGAACGCCGTTGACTTAACGTTATATAAATATATGACTTACCTCAACCCCGTCCCTAAACTTAACCGTCACTGAGGTTAATGGCATTTATGACTGGAGATTTGACTGCGTGTACGGACACACGGAATGACGCGGACGTTAATGGCGTAGACATACACGCATACACACGGAAACACGCGGATAGCTCAAAATGCGTAGAGATAACACGCCACCTGACTCGAAAGTGGCGTGTATGTTTACGCAAAAGTCATGATGTCATGTTGTAATGATTATGGATGAGTCGGGAAACAACAGCAAGGATATATTTTAATTGTTTATTAATGAACAAGTGTTTAATAAGTCTGCTGGCAACAAATATGATTATTGCGATGCTGACTCGTCATTCCTGCAGTAGTGAACGCGCGCACCTATATGGATTAGGCAATCAAACTAATTATTTCTAATTGTTTTGTTTAAAAGTAGACATATTTTGACCGTCTATTGGCCTATTTCTCATCTCTATGAGGCAAGTATCCTATATGTTGAGTGTCGGTTCATCTGTGATGCGCTCCAGTTCTTGCAGTCGAAGACGGATAAACTTTGAAACTTTGAATAAAAAGTGTCTGTGCGCTTATCAGATTTACCGTGTTTTACCGGTCAATTATCTTGTCGAAAATAATGCATCGCGTGGTTCTGGCATCGAGTTTGGATACACTTTGGATCATTTCCACATATTTTCTATCCATCTGGGTCGGGACGCTAACACACACGCACACACACACTCACGTGCGACGAGCTACGACACTGAGCAGCCGCGTAGACTAGTGTTTTCCGCCACAGCCAATCATGCAGCATGCTTATTGTTTCACTTACATTGACGACCCCTTGGGTACTGAAATTTGGTACCGAAAAACAAGATATTTTTCGATACTCGGTAGTACCGAGGCAATTCGATCAGTACCTAAAAAGTACCAAATTCGGTACCCAGTCCTAGTTATTCGTCGACCAAAAAACTTGTGTTGACACTTGTTTGGACTTGCGAGCTGGCCAAATAGTTGGTTAACGATACGTTTTGAGAGGATGACGAGGTCGAGACGCCGAAATGGATGCCGAGATTCTGACTGGAAAGTTTACTTTTAGGGTGCTTTCACATCTGTAGTTCGGTTCATTTGGTCCGGACCAAGGGCGAAAAATTATACTTTGTAGCATTTTTCAGGGGTTTTGGTTCGTTTTCACATCACACTGATTGCTCTGGTCCAAATCAGTTGATGAAACGAACCAAAATATAGTCACGTGACAACATCCACATGACATCCAGATATGTCTTGAACATATTTCCATAACTGCACTTCGATTGGTCAGAATTAACGTGCGTGAAAATTCGAACAGAACTCGTGGAAGTAAACAAAGAGGAGAAAAATCCGGCTGACATGGGGAGAATTCACTCACAATGTATGTTCAGAATCAGCAAGAGCTTTATCCTTTCGCAAATCCCCTCATAAACAACAACGTATAGACGCAATATAAATAAAAGGTTCACTGTGCAGTGTGGACAACTTCAGTGTTTTAGTGAGAGTGCAGAACGCGGTAAATCAGTCAATGCTTAAAGGGAGTGCTATTGGCTATATAAATAATCATTTTGTTTTACTACGGCAGCTGGTTTAGTCCAAAAATGTGCAGTTATTTGGCAGTTGGGTCTGTTCGAGGTCAGATCATGTTCTCACCACAAACAAAGGTTTGAAAGCGTACCAAGACCACCTCTTCCATAGATGCGATGACCGTGAAGTGTTTATTTATAGAATTCGCGGGAAACAATCTAGTGTCCTGAATACCGTGAGTCTACGTATATTTTAATTGGGTGAAAAGGGTGAAGATTTTATGTAAAACATAAAACAATCAATTGCAATATAGAAATAAATGGACTTACTGTGGCCAGCCCTCTCCCGTAGACACAGTGAAGAGTGTAAGTAGAGCCCAGAGGACATTATCATAGTGGAACTCGTGTCTCCTCCACTCCCTCTTCTTCACCTCCTTGCGGTCCCTCGCATAGTCAATGTAGTAGCCCCTACACAACACAAAACTATCAAAAACAGGGGCAAACCAAGAAAATGTAACTGAAAAGGTACAGACCATTGTACAGCTTGACCAGCATTTTCCTGTATTTTCTGTGCTTTTGAAATACAATAATTTGATTTACGCTGCAGAAATATTGTAAATAAAAACTTCCCAGATAGCAAACTGACATTGAATCAACGTGGAATTATGACATAGAAACAACGTTGATCTGACATTGTTTTGCTCATCGAATTAACGTTGAACCAACGTCAGACGCGTCATTCTTTCAAAACTAACGGAAAATCAACTTGAAATCAACGTGTTGTTTCAACGTTATGAAAGCAAACCAATTTTCGATTTTCATTTAGCTTTCAAGAATGCCGCGTCTGACGTTGGTTCAACGTTAATTCGATGAGCAAAATCAATGTTGTTTCAATGTCATGAGAGACGTCGTTTCCACGTTGATTCAATGTCAGTTTGCTGTCTGGGTTCCCAATCCAGAAAAATTTTTTAAAGAGTAACTAAACCCTAAACCAACTTTTTTTAGTTAATGATTTGTAAGAATGGATCTTTATTAATACCAGTCATTGATTCGAGTAACTTTTTTGACATTTGTTTATAAAGTGTTCTATTTCTACAATATATGGTGTAAAAACGACTTAGTGCTGCCCTCTTCAGGTTGAAAGGTGGCTACTGCAGTTGAATTTTCCTATTGGATGTTAGCGGTTCTTCGTGACGTACACACGTTTCAGCTCACCACGCTCTTGGTACGAGCGGCAGTATAAAAACCATCTTGTGTTGTCAAAAACACTGTAGGGGGTCAGGAATTGGAATTGTGAGTATTGAAAATGACCAGGATAGAGTGTTTTAGCATCTATTTCGTCCCCTCTATCTCCGCTGGGGTCTGCCCACTTTTTCAGCATTTTCAAATATTGCCAGTGGGTGGAGTCAGGCTCTGACCAAGGCTTTAGTTACCCTTTAAGCTGCAAAAATGTCTGGTTTCAAAATTATTGGTACATTACTGGTAACATACAGCCAATGTATTGAATGGGGGTTGAATAATTTCAATTACAACTGTACAGTATATTAGCCTTATATCCAAATTAACTGTAAGTGTTATATAATTTTAATCCCACACTCATACAACTATTTAGGGAATAGAAGGTAAATATTTATCACTGTTAGCCAACTATCACTGTTTCTCCTACAGTCTACCTACAATGTTAGTAGTAGTTAGGATATCTTGCACTAAAATAGTTATAAATTAACTTGTTGTGAACATTTTCCACCCGCTCTCTTAAAATATATGGCGTATGTGTGCACTTACTGGCATTCTTTCTGGGTGCCCATTGAACCATCAGTACAGTAGAAGAACTTTCCCTTAAAGAGCTGCACTGCAATGACAGCAAAGATGAACATGAAGAGCTTGTACACGATGAGAATGTTGAGGACGTTCTTCAGGGATGTGACCACGCAATCGAACACAGCCTGCATGACACAAAACATTCAAGCAGAAGAAATAATTATATTACATCTCCCTTCCTAAACAGGTCTTTAAACAGGAATGCAAATGAGGCGAGTTTCATATGCCACTTATATATGAATATATATATATATATATATATATATTACAAATGTCTTACTAAAGCCTTTGAATATATGTAGAGTTGTTCAGTTAGTATAACGTGTATCATGATGAACACTGCACACAGCATTGCCTGCACTTTTATTTTCAAGTAATACTTTTTTTCAGTCAGAACCAATTTCTTTTCTTTATTTTTTTATTCAAATTTAATCTGGTTAATATAAATACAGCTAATGTGAATTGCATCAGATATGGGGAAATGAATAAAGTGCACATGACATGTAACTGCATATGTCTCTGTCATCCCTATCCCCAAAGATCTCCCATCACTAATTCAATTATGGTTTAGTTAAATGGTCTGATGATAATTCTAATAATTCTGGCTCTGTATATCACTGCATATTGATTTGAAATGAAAAATGTCAAGTGCTGCATGTTATATTTAGTCTACTTTTAATTATTCACAGAGGGATTACTCATATTTGGACAGCAGAGCGCTCTAATGAATTAATTCATTAAATGGAGTGTTTTTGTGAGAAGGAATAGTCTTGGAATATTTCTTGACTACTAGAGTGTATAAGTGTTTGAAATCCATAACATGTAGTCTGTATACTAAACATTAGTTTAGCAAAATTAGAGTGTAGAATAAACAGACTTAAAGGAGTAGTTCACTTTTAAAAAAACGTTTGCTGATAATTTACTCACCCCCATATTCTCCATATAATGGACTTCAATGGGAACCAAACGGTTCAAGGTCCAAATGAGAGTTTCAGTGCAGCTTCGAAGGGCTTTAAACGACACCAGACGATGAATAAGGGTCTTATCTAGTGAAACGATCCATCATTTCAAAAATAAATAAAAAGGTTTAAGTTTTATAAGCACAAATGCTCGCCTTGCTCTGTTCTGTGATGAGCGTTCGTGACTCTCCTGTTCAAACTCGTTCATCAAAATTAATTTTGATGTACAAATCTTTTTGAGTCATTTTGTTTATTTCGTTCGTTGAATGAACCAAATGACTCTAAAAAAAGATTCGTTCATTTTGAATGAGGTAAAACAGGAGAGTCACGAATGAGCATCACAGAACAGAGCAAGGCGAGCATTTGAGCTTATAAAACTTAAACTTTGTTATTCATTTATTAAATGAGTGATCGTTTCGCTAGATAAGACCCTTATTCATCGTCTGGTGTCGTTTAAAGCCCTTTGAAGCTGCACTGAAACTGTCTTTTGGACCTTGAACTGTTTGGTTCCCAATGAAGTCCATTATATGGAGAAAAATCATCAAAAAACTTAATTTCTTTTCAACTGAAGAAAGAAAGACATGGACATCTTGGATGACATGGGGGTGAGTAAATTATCAGTAAAAGTTTTTTTTAAAGTGAACTACTCCTTTAAAAGAAATAACTACAGATATTGGAAGTGATGGAAAGCATGCTGATCTAAACATTTATAAAATGTGACAGAGCAGATACCTTGAGCTTTGGAAGTCTTTTGATGGTCTTGAGAGGGCGGAGAACTCGGAGAACCCTCAAGGACTTAATGGTCTTTATGTCTCTGCCTTTGTTGTTTCTGTGATTAACAAAACATATTAAAATATTTTAATATTTGTTATTTAAAACATTTTTAAAAAAACGGAAAATGCCCACAAAACAAGTATTACGGCTGTCAATAAATAAAACATTTAAATAAACGTATTGCAATTAATCACATATATTAGACCCCAAATCAAAAATAAAACTTTAATATAAGTAAGAGCTCTTTTTAAAAATTATGAAAATAAATATCAGTAACGCAAAAAAGAAAAAAAGTGGTTTTATTTTGGATGGAGTGGGTCAAAGGTTGAATACTGCTCACTATATCTTGCCTAAAAGTCTAAAAGTCATCTTTCTTTGCTGTGAATTGCATAATGAAAGTTGAACTGGCAACTGAAAGGTTTCTGCATTAATGGCGCCATTTTAAAATCAGTGTTTGAAAAATGTTCAAACAAAACCATAAAAGAGAAACATTTCTTATTGTGAAATTTACTAAAGGGCAAGAGGTCATGATTAATTGCATACGTTGTTTTTAAATAATGAATCACACTAAATGAACGAGTTAAATCGACAGCCGTAATACACAATGCATTACCTAAGAATATCTATGTATGGCGAATATACTGAGAGAATGAATGACATTTTTCTTTCATTAGTAATTGCAAACATGGATCAGACATTACTATATTAACACACACACACCCACACACACACAAATAAATGATCGGTGGCATCCGAATGTATATTTAAATGGACAGACAATGAGACGAATGAGAAGCATTTGCTGTTACCCCATTAAATTCCTGGCAGCCACAGAGACACAATCCAAAACAATAACAGAGAAGCATTAAAAGAGAAAGAACACATGAACATCTCAAGTGTGTGTAAAGCCATTAAATCATCAAGCTGAAGTGCCTGAGCTCAACCAGAGTCTGGAATATCCTTTTAAAGACATATTTCCTTAAATAACACAAACAAATATGCTTTTTAAGGTAAAATGAATTGTAAGAAATCTTATTATCTGCTAATAAATGTTTTTGTACATACAGTATGTCTAATGCTTATATTAATAAGATATTACCTGGAATTATATCTGATGAATTTAGGACTTGTTTCCCATGTAGTCTCTCACTCAAAAAAATGATATGTTGGCTTTAATTGACTATTTTATGTTAACAGGTTCCACACAAACATAATTTGTTCTTGTGACTTCAACATCAAGAAATAATTCATTTTTAAGCGACCCAATTAAGCTCTGAGCAGAGTGTTAAATGAACACTGAAGCAGTGTTAAAGTTGATTATGTGCCCAACTAAAACACACATTGATCTCCACAATGGTGACTTGCAAATTCCGTCAGGTGTCTTCAAAAACGATCAATCATCCCTCAACTATTCACTTCATTATCTCATTAACTTTAAAAACTCAAAAACTACTTAATTCCATTATATTGAAGTTACATACATTAACAAATTATGTTTAACGTAACCCAGATATGTGGAACCTGTTGACATAAAAAAGTTAATTAAAGCCAACATATCATTTTTGTGTGTATATTTAAGATCACATTTCACATGCATTCTTCAAAATGGCTATCATAAATCAGAAAGTAACTATATATGTGTGAAATTTGTATGTGTACCATAATAGAATATATTAGCAAACAACAAGCATACAAGAGCAGTAACCAACCACTATGGACTTATATAACTTAAATGAAGGGTATCCAAAGCACAGCCCACGGGCCCATAGCCTTCTCTGAATCAGCCCGCAAGACGCTTTATAAATAGAACAGGATTTGGCCTGCTATTAAGAAAGCATATGAAATCTATAGACTGCATTTGGATGTTGATATCTCATATAGCCAAATCTCTTAACACACCACCTCCACTAGTGCAGTTGCCACCAGCTTCCGAGGAACACTGATGAAGTTGCAAACAAAAAGAATGAAGAGACTGTATGGCTTATCATACATATACAGTACTCTTATTTTTTTTTACATACTATACCCTAGAAGTAGCATAGAGCATTTGGTATTAAATGATGACTATACCTGTTTATCCTGCATTAACTACAAAAGTTAATATGTGTGATCCTCTAGAGTCCAACTTTCCCAATCTATCAACTAATACATAAACCCACAGAACAGTCTTTACTTACTGTTCTCGGTCTAGTACTGTGTGGGCACATTTAACTTTAAAAATTCAGTAGTTTCAGAATCCACACAAATGTGAATTTCAGATGAGGGAAAAAGATTTTGGTTTTTAATTTTGAGACCAACATAACCCAGATAGCGCAGTCTATTTGATGTAATGTTTACACCTGGAAGACGTATTTTTAAGGGTGTTTGCTCATCTGCAATACGTCTATAGGACATTTCCTGTCAGATGTCAAATAGACGTTTATAAGATGTCAGTTTTACATGCCTTCTAAATCATTACATCTTAAAGACATCTTCTAAACATCAATTTGACATCTCAAAGGAAACGTCCTATTGACGTATTGCAGATGAGCAAACACCCTTAAAAATACGTCTTCCAGATGTAATATTTCATCAAATAGACTTGTGCTATCTGGGAAAGCTGTTTGTTTTAATATTAACCGTAGAAAATGAACCTTTTGCTAGTGTGACTGCACTGTAAATTTAATCTAGGCAGAATATTAGCAGAACTAAACTTAAATCCTGCTTTTTTGCAACTTTCGAAGTTTCCTAACATATAAAAAAACGACCTCTGTCCCTATGACTTCTAGCCAGGAAAATAATGGCCTGGTTATCCACTGAGACCTGAAAATAAAACGACTAATCAACCACATTCACTCACAATTAATATCAAATTATAGCAGTGATACAGTTCCCTATATCGGCAAGACTTCCGTTATTAATTAATAACTTGTGTGTATTTGGCCATATAATCTGCGGAAGAGAACTGAATAGGGGTTACTCGCTGTCCGAGATGCGGCTTTCTATGTGCGAGATTACTTACGCAGCCCCAATTCAAGCGACAAAGTGTTAGGTGCGTGGACTGTCAATGGAGGGACAGAAATCTCTCAGATTTAATAAAAATATCTTCACTTGTGTTTTGAAGACAAACGAAAGTCTTACGGGTTTTGCAAAAACGTAGGAAGGGGAACATATTTGTTTAAAGTTATCTAATGTTATCCGGTCTGGAATCTGGAGTTATCCCCAGATGTCTCTAAAGCAAAACGATTACAGGTTAATATTATCATCAGAAATCTGACTTTATGCAACAACTTGTCACACAAGGAAGATGGATATCACTTGAAATACTTACGTCAATGCAAAGGCAATTAGAGCTCCAACCACCACAATAAAGTCTAGAATGTTCCACAAGTCCCGGAAATATGATCCATCATGAAGAATGAGGCCCTGGTCAATCATCTGTATAACATAGCATATTACAATATTATAGAGAATATAGAGTATATCATTTTTTATATATAATCTATATATATACAAAAAAAAAAAAGAATAATTGAAATGACATATCACATCTGTCTCTGTGTTGTCCCTAGAATTGAAAAAGTATTAAGGGAGAAGCCCACACCTTTTTAGCTAATCCTAAAGGCCAGTCAATGATTTGGAGTTTACTGAAATCGGGTAAGGTGAAATGTTTTTGGAGGGCAAGTTATATAAATTCCTAACACCACCTTTAATAACAGTTATTTAAATCATGTTTGAAGTAAGAAAGCAGATACCTTTATAATCATCTCAAATGTGAAAACGCCAGTGAAAACATAATCAAAGTAACGGAGAACCTGCAAACACAGTAAACAACCCTGTCAAGTTTATTTGCATTATTTGCATTTTTGTGTCAAAAGTCAGGACATGCTGATTTGATGTGCCCCTTTTATGCTTTTTGAAAATTACCTTTCATGCAATTTGTAATTTAACTGTTTGTGAATGTAGAGGTCTGAAAAAACTTTTAAAGATTAGTGCACAACAAATAAAGTTATTGTCTCCTAAAAGAAAGAATCGCATTTGAACTGCCGAAACAAGTCGTCAGCAATTCCAGTATCACTTCCATCATTAATGTTTGTATCACGGTGTATCAAGCACTGAGGAAGCCTCTGGAACTGAAATTCAAATAATACTACGGTAAAAACTATGGTAATAGACGTTTAATTTATGACCAATCAAAACAGACTGAGCCATGTGACCAATCAGAGCAGAGTTGACCAATTACAACAGACTGAGCATCTGACCAATCAGAGCAGAGTTGACCAATTACAACAGACTGAGCATCTGACCAATCAGAGCAGAGTTGACCAATCACAACAGACTGAGCCATCTGACCAATCAGAGCAGAGTTGACCAATCACAACAGACTGAGCCATCTGACCAATCAGAGCAGAGTAGACGAATCACCACAGACTGAGCATCTGACCAATCAGAGCAGAGTTGACCAATTACAACAGACTGAGCATCTGACCAATCAAAGCAGAGTTGACCAATCACAACAGACTGAGCATCTGACCAATCAGAGCAGAGTAGACGAATCACCAAAGACAGACTGAGCCATCTGACCAATCAGAGCAGAGTACACGAATCACCACAGACTGAGCCATCTGACCAATCAGAGCAGAATAGACAAATCACAACAGACTGGGCATCTGACCAATCAGAGCAGAGTTGACCAATTACAACAGACTGAGCATCTGACCAATCAGAGCAGAGTAGACCAATCACAACAGACTGAGCATCTGACCAATCAGAGCAGAGTAGACAAATCACAACAGACTGGGCATCTGACCAATCAGAGCAGAGTAGACCAATCACAACAGACTGGGCATCTGACCAATCAGAGCAGAGTTGACCAATTACAACAGACTGAGCATCTGACCAATCAGAGCAGAGTTGACCAATCACAACAGACTGAGCATCTGACCAATCAGAGCAGAGTAGATGAATCACAACAGACTGAGCATCTGACCAATCAGAGCAGAGTAGACAAATCACAACAGACTGAGCATCTGACCAATCAGAGCAGAGTAGACAAATCACAACAGACTGAGCCATGTGACCAATCAGAGCAGAGTTGACCAATTACAACAGACTGAGCATCTGACCAATCAGAGCAGAGTTGACCAATCACAACAGACTGAGCATCTGACCAATCAGAGCAGAGTAGACGAATCACAACAGACAGAGCCATCTGACCAATCAGAGCAGAGTAGACAAATCACAACAGACTGAGCCATCTGACCAATCAGAGCCAAGAAGGCTTGCAGAAAGGAGGGTTTTAGAGAGACTGAATATTTAAACAAATTGTTTTCAGACTCTTGTGAGAAATTAGCTGATTAGCTTTTTTTTCACCATGGATGCATGTAAGCCTATTGTTATTACAATATAAGGAACAATTAAAATAGCATAATAGGGGCACTTTAAAATCAAAATACTCGTGACATTATTTATTATACAAGTCCTTAATAATTCAATATGTTGAAATCCAATATTTTACTTTATTCCTCTCTGAACTGGCGCACACAGGGTCCTCAGCTGCTAGTGCAATACTGCTGGCCACAATCACCAGGAGAATGGTCATCTCAAAGTACCGCAGGGTCACCACATAGTGGCAGATCCTTCTTATGCTGAAGTTACAGAAGGAAAATCAGTTTAGATGATATATTTGTCCCATTTTGTCCCATGGTATATTTTACAAAAAACTATATGTGTGAGACTGTGTAAACACTCACGGATTTGTGCTCTTGAATATGAACATGCTGTCTGGTATGTCAGGTTTGGGTACAGTTGACTGTTCACCTCCATTCTCATCATCATCATCGTCATCGTCATCATCGCCAGCTTTATCTGAGTAACCGGCTTCCACATCCTTGAAACTTACTGTGACGGGTTAAATGAAGAGAACAAAACAAATATTTCAGCACTTCATTCACAACAGGTTTACATCTAAACATCAAAATTACTATTCTTGAACTTTCAAGTAATGCACCATATATATCATTATGGCTTTTTTATTAATTGTAAGTAAAGGTCTGCTACCCGACCCATGCACAAGAATATCTAAAAAACAATTCATATAGTAGATATACATACATATATAGATTAGAAATACAGATATACATACATAATACACATCTATACAGATATATAGTTGTGTCGTTAATTTAAGGCAAATTTACCGTGGCTAAAATGGAATTTATTTTTTGATATTTCAAAATTTATATTTCACTTGACAAAGAAATCACAATTATACCAAATAGTTAACATTTTGATAAATGGATTTTAATAGTACTATGGAAGTCAATGGGGATTGAGATCTGTTTGATTAAAACATTCTTCCAAATATCTTCCTTTGTGTTCAGCAGAACAAATAAACACTTAGAGGTTTGGAAAAACATGAGGGTGAGTAAATACTGACAGAATTTTCATTTTTGGGTGAACTAACCCTTTAATGTTTGCAAAAGTTCTTCATCAAATGTAGCGATGTCATATGCTGCAATAAGATTATTGAGTGGCTTTGGCTCTGTGAATAGAGTGTGATTGCCAGGGTAAATATATTTCAGGGCAAATCTATAACTGCAAATAGCTGGCAAGCTGTGCTTCTGGTCTCAAAGTACATATGTTTGGGCTCTCATTAAACTTGCATTGAACTGTATAAAACTTTATTTCCGAATTGGTGTGCCTATAATCTTCTTGGTACAACTCATTGGACTCTCTGTGGGCTCTAGATCTCCTGACCACAATTTCTTGTGATTTTGCTTATCTGAGATGCAGTTGGGTAATTCCACTTATAATATATATATATATATATATAGACACACCTAAGCCCATTGTGTGACATTTCACTATTTTACTGTAGATTTGCCTGAGTGAACAATAACCGAGCTTTCACACACCACCCAGCACCAAGACTACTACAGCAATGGAAGGGAATACTCTAAAGACAAACTGCTCTTTATTTTCTGAGATTGCCACAGGCATTGATGACCCACTTCTCTGTCTCTATAAATGAATCTGTCCTCACTTTAGCAAATTATCCGCTTTGCAAACAGAATCAATGGCTGCAGTCCACCCGTCCTTCAGGCCACTAAACTACTTCACTGTTGCACTTTAATCACTGAAAAACACCAAACACCACTTCATTACGGAAAACCGCTTATTTCAAACTCATACGTCATTCAATGCACATTCTATTATAGTAATGGTTCTCACACATGTATTTTTCTGATAAAGTTACAGAGTAACTAAATTCAAATAGGTAGTTTGTTATGCACCCAACTTTTATGATCTTTAATGAAGAGACATAATGGAGAATTAGTCATTTTTAAAATGCATTTTCAACCACATGACAGGATTTAAAACAGTCGTGGCAAATCATGAAATTCTTGTCTTTCAAAGGGAAGAGAAAACATTAACATTAAAGACTATGCGAACCAATCTTCATAGTATTTGTTGCATACCTGTCACTTACAGTAAGAAGCTAGACTTTATATTATAATATCAAAATTATATTGATTTCACTAACATTTTTCACTAAGATTTTTGTTTTACTATCAAACTGTTTTGGTTTGTTGCTTCATTTCCAAAGCATCTGATACTCTAGAAATTGGTATGATATAACAGAAAAAAAACTGTACAAGAAGACCAATCTAGGGGAATGATATTCTGGACAGTAAAGATGCAATTAAAACAACAAAAACAGAAGCAGGATGGATGGATGGATGGATGTAAGAGACAAACAGCTTAAATACCACTCATTGGTGCCATTTCCAACAAAGGCTGGGTTGACGTCTCTCGTTTAATGCAGGTTTCTGTTATACACGCATCCTGGTTAAGATAGCTGCCGTTGTTCTCCATGTCTGAGACTTCCCCCGAGATATATTTCGATTCTGATGTAAAGTCTTCTTTGTGCCTCTGGCTTTCAGCTTGATCCTCCATTCCAGTACAGACAGACTGAAGCTCCTGAAGGCCAGACGCTTGGGAAAGTCCAGTCACGTCTCCCACAAACTCCCTTAAATACAAATGCACAGGTGTGAATGTTTGATCGTGAAAAATAATTTCACATGACTTTGCTCTGTTCTGTGCCTTGCAGAACAACTTCTATAAAAAGAAAACCAAACTGGGAGTCGTTCAACTATAATTGTACCACTAGCATTTCTGAATTCATAGTTCTTGACCAAAGCTCAACAGTGACGTACAGGGGTTGGACAATGAAACTGAAACACTGGCCAATGTTGGAGGTTTCACATCTATATGCCTGGCGGCCAATCTTCAGAGTGAAGCACGGGTGGATCAGTGATGGTTTGAGCTCCAATATCAAGACAATCCTGATTGTATTTGATGGACACGACACTGCCGAGGACTACCAAACCCTTCTGGAGGATCATGAGCACCTGATGCTCAAACCGTGTATCAGCATGATCATGCACCAACACACACAGCAAGACTTGTGACCGAAGGGTTTGGTGAAGTTGAAAGTGACGTTGAACATCTCCCATGGTCTGCACAGTCACCAGATCTGAATATTATTGAGGTGTTTTGGAGGAGCGAGTCCACCAGCATCATATAATGACCTGGAAACTGTTCTGGAAGAGGAACGGCTCATAATCCCTCTGGTCACTGTGAAGGACTTCTATCTGTCAATTGGTGCTGTATTTGGATGCAAAATGAGGCCCTCACCATTCTAACAAATTATTGTGTTGTAAATCCAGGTGTTTCAGTTTCATTGTCCAACCCCTTTAAGGTAAACTAGCATGCGAACTTAGCAACTCGCTAAATAAAATGGGTTGCGATGGTATTCTTACCTTGTGCATTCCTCCTGGTTCTCAATTTGCATGCCAGACGTTTCAGTTTCAGTGGTTTTAGACTGTGTTTCCTCCATTTTACCCTCACCCTCTTCCGCCTGTTTCTCACCGCACCCAAATTGCTGGTGATTCTCCGCATTTCGGCTCTCTGTTCTGGGCTCACGATGTCTGTGCCGTTTGTGTCGCCCACCCTCCACTACCCCCGCCATGGCAGCAGCCCGAAACTTTCTTGCCACACGATGCTTCCTTTCTGTGTTTGAATGGTGGTTATTAACGCCCGGCCTCTCCTCCAGCCCCGATCCCATCAGGGGCAACGGCTCAGACTCTGGAGGTTCGGGGAGAGGAATAGTGATAGACATGGGTGGCTCTGGCAGGGGAATCCCCACAGACATTGGTGATTCTGGCAAGTGTAAGGGGCTTGCCTCGGGGGACATGCAGCTCTGTTGGTGATGATCACTCACTGGAGTGTCCAACTGATCCTCAGTGGGACTGCCAAACAGTACCTCACGACTGGCCATCTTGCGCCGTTTCCGCAGCTGGTTTGTCCTTTGCTCCCAGACGGACATGTTAATCTTTTTGCGTCTCTCACGGCGGCCAGCAAAAGCGTTCACGGGCTGCTCTTCCGCTGCCTTGCAAGCAGGTTCCTCCTCTGCCTCTGCTGGAGATGGTCGTCCTCGGTGGATGGCCCGCTTCCTGTACAAGTACGGCCTCCGTCTCCTTCTGCGTGGACACGGCATATCTCAGACACAAGAGTTGTATCATTTGCAGCATGCACAATCACAATTCACGAGGGTGTGTGATAAAACTCTGGAAATCAGAATAAAAACAATGGCTATCCATTCAGGCTAAATAAAACGGAATTCAAGAGAAAACCAGGGGAACATTCTTGAACAAAAATAAATAGAGAAGAAACAATAAGAGAAACGGAGTGCAAGGATCTACATGTCAGCAAGTAATTTGGAGTGTAAATGAGATTGACAATGCAATGACAATGGCAGACACAACAGATAAAAAGATGCATAGACAGTTGTACTTACAATTACGTGTATTCTTTTGTTGTCCATGAAATCAAATAAATGATTAATTGAAAATATGCCATTAGTGTATTTGTAGATAAGACAAACCAAACAATGCATATTTCCAGACTGCATACTAGTCAACTCATAATTCATATAGATGGATAGAAAAACTCTGACCCCCGTGGACCCGTCCTACAGCTTAACTCCAACCTGAATCAAACTCAACTGAACACGCTAATTAAGGTCTTTAGTATTACTAGAAAGCATTAGGCCATGTCCACACTAATACGTTTTCGTTTGAAAACATATATTTTTCTCTCCGTTTTGGCCTTGAGACGCCGTTTTAAGTCAACAAAAACGTATCGTTTGGAAAACGCTCTCCAAAGTGGATAAATTTGAAAATGCCGTTTTCGCGTTGTAGTGTGGACAGTGAAACCGGAGGTATTTCAAAACGATGACGTAGGTTTAGTCATGTGTTCCATGTAGTACCAATAGATATTCATGTTTATCGGTATTGTGCCTGTTATGTGTTATTCATTTTTACACTATTGCTAAAATATGTTACTTTCTATGTTACTTAAAGGGTTAGTTCACCCAAAAATGTAAATTAAGTCATTAATTACTCACCCCCATGCTGTACCAACCCCTTAAGACCTTCGTTCATCTTTGGAACACAAATGAAGATATTTTTGATTAAATTTGAGAGCTTCCATCTTCTCGCGCATGCGTCGTGGAAATCTAAGGAAGTCTCGTTTCAGGCCAACAAGGAAGAAAAGGAATAGTCGAATAAAGTCGTTATTTTTGTTTGTTTTTTCGCACAAAAAGTATTCTCGTCGCTTGATAAACTTATAGTTGAGCCACTGTAGTCACATGGAATATTTAAACATTTTCTTCATTGACTTTCTGGGCCGTCAAGAGCCAGTCCCTTAGGCAGTCTATGTGGTAGTTATACAGCTCTCAAATTTAATCAAAAATATCTTCATTTGTGTTCCGAAGATGAATGAAGGTCTTACGGGGTTGGTACAGCATGGGGGTGAGTAATTGATGACTTAATTTTCATTTTTGGGTGAACTAACCCTTTAATATGTGCTATTCTTCATAGCATAGTACTGCAAAGATGACAGATAATGTACTTACATTTGCTGTCCTGCGGCAAAACAGGAGAGCAGTTGCGTTTTAGACCAAACATATGGTGACTGAATGCAACCTGGACGCATCAGTGATGGTGAGATATTTTGCTAAATAAAATCATCCTGTTATTGTGCGAGAACATTATTATTTATTTTCCCATCTGTATCATCTCAGTGAGCTTTTGTGAAGTTTCACGCATGCGCAGTAAAGTGAATTTAGAAGTTTCTCATCCACACTGAAACGTCGTAAATGCCTGTAAACCGCTGTTAACGCTAGTGTGGACGGAGAGCGTTTTTAAACGAAAACCCCGTTTTCAAATGTATCCGGATTAATGTGGACGTAGCCTTAGACAGGCAAGTTTGATTAAGGTTTGAGCTAAACTCGAGGGCCAGAGTTGAGTTAAATGTTAAAGGTTTCTTTGGCACTTAATTTGTGTGAAATGCACAAACTGTAATCAATGTTAGTGGTTTTGGAAATATAATTCTATATGTCTTGATATTACAATAACTAGATTAATTGTAGGTTGATTATCATGTGCCCTAAATCTCTTTTTTTTCTATGCCCTGAACAACTCAAACAACCCAAAACAACTAACATTTCAGCCCGTTCTCATCCCAAGAAGTCATTTGAACCATGCGTCAACATCCGACGCACATGGCACCCTTTAGTGGTCTAACCCTAACCCTACCCGCGCCATCTATCTGACGCCCTGGGATGAGAATGCAATGAACATTTCTACTCAAAACCTACAAGCTTCAGACTAGACCGGTAACCAGCTACAGGACAGGCTTAACTGTTACAAACATAAAGCTGTATGTGCCATTATGCAAGCATCTTAGAGAAGAGAGAAACTAGTCTAACAATTTAACTGCACTTGAAATGAAAACGATAATTATTTGTCAACTGGATGTGTTTCTCTGTTGCTCAAAAGATTTTACATTTTAGTCCGGATGTCATTCAGCATCAGTTTCTTCTCTACTGACAAAAGTTGTCCTTAACAGCCAAGCTTCTGTAAACTAATATCCAATATTAAAAACTTCTCAGGCTGTGACTGTAACTATTGTCCCCTGAGCAGGGAACGAGATGCTGAGTCAATTCTCTTGAGAGATGTCAAAGCCAGAAGAAACAGTCTTCAGAGTGAGAAAAAAAACATCTAATACCAAGGCCAAATACAAAGCCGATACCCTTGTGTATGTTTAAGGCCTCAGCCTCAAAGCACCATGGAGGAAATAATAACCATAATATCTACAGTATAACGTTTTTCAGGCGAGAATGTAGTTTTTTTGAGGTTTATTTATAGATTTATGATAATTTGACTGAGATCCATTCCAAACAATCACCAGACGCTCATGCGCTCGTGCACCCTGCCTGGCACAGCCTTTCCTCAGCTAGTCATTCTGATGTTTGGCGCTGACTCTGACGTCACTGTAGTGGTTAAACATGATATATAATTCGTCTTGTATAAACCTAACAGGCGATCTTTGGTCTTGTGAATCTATAATTCGTTCCCTGGTCAATAGTTTTGGCAGAAGGCTAAGTGAAGTTTCATATCTTTGAGCGCTGAATTTGTATATTTGACTGAATTGTTTGCTTTATGTTATTAAAGCTTTACTGTATATCTTTTTGTACCTTTTACTTATACTTTTATAATGGCTATTATTGATAAAACTGAAATTCAACAAAAAGAGATAGTTTTGTCATTTTTTATTTTATTACAACATAATCTGTAATGTTATTTATTGCAACATTTGTACCAATGCAATATATGCAATACATTACATATTGCCTGGAATATGTTTAATATTTTTAAATTTAAATGAAAAGAGGCAGGGTTGTGATTTATATTTAGTTTTTTTTATAAATATATACCATACATACATGCAGTGAATATAATCAATAGGCTATGCGTTGCCTGAACCACATTTGTGCTTATAATGTTTAAAATGTATTTAAATGAAATTGAAAAGAAGCAGAGTGGTGTTTTATAACATCTTTCGTTTTATTGTTGCCTAAAATGTACATAGAGAGATATCGGAGGAGCAGAGCGAGCTGAGTGGCTGTTCCATTGACAGAATTACTGGAAACGCCTAATTCCAGCGCTTGTTTCTTGTAACAAACATGCCGAGAAGCAAGAACAAGATCTGCTGTTTGTCATCCATTGTCGTTTACTATGTCGCTTTTTTCACGAGAAAATGACATCGATCGCTTCTTTCCAGCAAACGCCAAACGAAGATGCCGTCGTCATTAATTACCTGGGCTCTTTCTTTGCACGCTTGGGTGCCATCCGAAGAAAATTGTTTCTCAGACGCATAAGACTGCTTATGGATCAAATGGTACGCATGTTTCATTGTATTTAACGACCGCACAAAGTTCATAAAATAATAAGGATTATTAGCTAGCTCAGCTCGACAAATAGCGCATAGCTGCTAGCGGTTTACTACCAATTCAAAACAAAAATATTACAATTAAAACCGCTTGAACAACATTTTATTCAACATTTTATTAAAAGTATCATAAAAACTCGAGTGTCATAATTCTTACATTTGTGCGCCTGTTTAACAGTTCGACGTTCGGCCATAATAAAAAACTTGATGCCGGCACTTTTGTTACCCCTCACTTTCAAGTGTGGTCCTCTGCAAACTTCGTTTCAAGAGCTATGTAGCCCTACGCCTTGGCCCTAGCCCTTAATCAAAATGAGAATTGGGACACTACTTCCCCTCACATGAACACGCAAAATTGAGGGGAAGGGGTAAGAGTAAGGGGTAAGACAGAGAAATGAGACACAGCCTTAGAGTTGTGTTGGCAATACTGATGACAAATGGACAGGATTGAAAAGGTAAGCTCTACCAACCATTCAATGAAAAAAAAGTTCAGATTTGTCAGACATCTAAGGACACGATCGTTTGACCGTCACCATGTTCACAGAACACATTAAAGGATAATTCCAGTATTTAACACCTTGAGGCTATTTTGTAGTTTGCTTTGAATGAAATAGAGTGGTGGAGAAATTTTGAGAATGGGTCCTGTCTCGACTTATTGACTATTTTAGAATCGCCTGTGACAGCGTTAGACTGGCTGTCTATGGGCATGCACAAACATGTCCTTAAAACAACCCTTAACGTTCATTTTCAAAACTGTGCAACTCACCGAGTGGTTGGTGGTGTTCCTTGATGTTCCGAAACAAGTAGCGTAGCGAAATACCGTTTCTGACGTGTTTTATTTGTCATTTTTTAAAATCGCATTGATGTCTGCTGGAGGACTTGGTGCTCGTTGATATTACTGCGCTAGCTACCGGAAAAGGAAAGGGGTCTGTTTACATTTGGTTGTAGTCTTTTCGCTCGGTTCTCCGTCTTGCCATATTCGACTGTGTCTGTGACTTTTTTTTACGGTGCGCTAGACACCGTGTTCCGTACAGCGTCCTGGTTGTCGCCATCAAGTGGTCGGGAGTGTGCTAACGCTTCAGACTCAAATATCGAGCGGAAGTTTATACGCAGTTGTGAGGTATCTAAAAAAAATAGTTCCAGTATAGCAAACAACACGTATTGAAAGCATACATTGCGCCGATATATTTGTTTTTAATCATCAACGAACACCACCAACCACTCGGTGAGTTGCGCAGTTTTAAAAATGAACGTTAAGGGTTGTTTTAAGGACATGTTTGTGCATGCCCATAGACAGTCAGTCTAACGCTGTCACAGGCGATTCAAAACAGTCAAAAAGTCGAGACAGAAATCAAAATTTCTAAGTCCACCACTCTATTTCATTCAAAACAAACTACAAAATAGACTCATGGTGTTAAATACCGGAATTATCCTTTAACAAGAGTATCAGACACAAGCAAAGGAATATGTATGGGACAACTGACTAGCCTTTTTGGACAACAAACTTTTTGGACTGTAGTTGCCTGATTCTCTCTCTGTAAAGGGAACATGTTTATGGCCCCTTTGTCCAGAAGAGATTCTCTTGTGACAGCGAATGAGCCTGCTCCAGTTTCACGGTAGTAGGGACCATGTCGTTAAAACGACGAGAGTGTATTCCTACACTAATTGGCCAACACACTCAGAGTGAAGCTGGTGCACACGGAAGACATCATATGCTGGACAACTCTATCCCTCGCAGAGTTTAGCTCAAACCCTCATCAAACACACATGGCCTTTGCAACACTTAGGGAGTAAGGATGCAATGCTGTGATGCCATTGCCACCACCATCAACTGATGAAGCTTCTTGGGTGGAGTAAGTAAATATCCTGAGCACCAGAGAAACATAGTTGACAACAATACTCAAAGTTCATTTTGGTTTTGATAGCATTGAGGAGAAGAAAAAAAACTTGACTAGATCCATGCAGTTGAGCAAAGGTATAACGGTCTTGCTGTGGTTGCATCCAATCAAAGTTAATGTTTTAGTGACATTTGAATTACTTTTTAAATATGATATCAACAAAAGTATATTTCTGATGACTATCAGCAATTGTTTAGCATTTTTCACTGCCACCACCCATTACTTATTTCTTACAAAGACTTACCATTTCTTTACACAATTATTAACATTGTCAAAGCAAAACTGGTGTGTGTCGCATTCAGGCATGAGGCACACAACGTTTGCCCATCACTCATATTTTCTTTTCAGGTCCTTTTTCACTTGTTGAAAAGAGTGAGAAGAGAAAGAGAGAATTTTCTGCACACTGCCTAGTGAAACTCTCCTAAAAGAGAGACAGAGTCACACACTAGCTTTAGTCACACACAGTATGGTCTGAAGAAAAAAGACCTGTCAATGCGCCTGTGGGACATCAAGATATAGGCTATAAAAGCTTAAAGTCAATTCCATTGACGTGTTACACAAACATTTCACAGGTATTTTCTGACATTAAAATGCCTGAGTATATATCTGCTCAAAGACTAAACACCATGGTACTCCAGGAGAATTTCCTTTGGAAAAAAACCCTACTCCCAGTCCTAGCTAGGTAACAATCGTGGTTAAAAAAATCAATCCCTCAAAGATCTAAAAGCCAAAACCTAAAATAGAGAAGGAGCTTCAGGTATTCTTAGCTTTTGCAAATCTAAGGCTGAAAGTGGTGACACTGGCTTTGTCACTAGAATTTTACCTCACAACCACTTTTCAAACTTGTGTACACCATACAACATTTCTGTCAAATGTTGGCAATCATAAATATTTATAATAAGCAAATCAACAGTCTTACACTGCCTAGTATGCCATGCTCATGGATTATGACATGCTCATCAATTGCAACGAATTTCAGCCTCCGACTTCTGGCAGTCAAAAATTTTGGGTAGCAGTCCTAAAATGTGACTACTTACTGTATTTGATGCCAGTCTACAGAGGATCCAGTAGGAGGACAGAAACGAATGCTGCAATTGACATGCCAACTATGATCACAATGCCATAAAAGCGTACGAGCAAAAGAGCTTGGACTGATTTTAAATACCTGACACTGCCCAAGTCTTGGTTATAACGTATCATAGGAAAAAGACACAGAGCATGCAACTATCTTGCCAAAAGCCATTGTGAGAATAGATGCAAAACCATAGAAAGAATCCAAAGGATTTTGGGGACTTGGACTTAAACTCCACTGTCTGCCATATTAAATTTAAAGCTTCCAATCACTCAAGCTCTAATAACATGCTGATTTTTTTCTCTTTAAAATAAACACCCCCCCCCCTCCCCCCCCCCCCCTGTGGTGTAGGCATCTGAGTTTCCTAGCAACTCAACATTAAAAAAGAGGAAAACAATTAAATTCTTACACCCTCAATAATCTAGACTTAAAGACAAAAGAGAACATGATTGTCATTCCAATTGACCAATTTATGAGTCCTTCTCTATTTAATTTGACCAGAACCAATACTGATCAAAAAGCATGACAGACAAATGGTACATTCATATATGACACTTCTGTTCATGTGTTTGATGGGTCTGAAAAATTACATAGTAGAGTAGTGTCAGTGGTTTAAAAGCACGTCTGAAGCACAAGAAGATTTGCGTCTGTCAACATCAAATTCTTGCTAGTTCTCTTACCATTTTCTTAATACATGCTATGAAACAGCATCCTTAATTTGAAAAATAGCTTGTGTCAGAGGAAAAAAAAGACAAAAAACTTACTCTGAGAGGCCAAATTCTCTGCTTTTATAACGCTGATTGAAGAACTCTTCTTCCTCCTCCTCTTCTTCCTAACACGAAATATACCTCTTCAATATAACACAATACACTATGAACTTTAATATTACATAAATGCATAATACATAATTAAAGATATACTAATGAGAAGCATGCATAATATGTTACTATTTTATGGATACTTTTATGGATATTATTTACATGTTTATTAGAGAGCTGTTATGCTATTGTATTTTCTTAAAATACATATTTTTATGTATTTATAATTTAGATACACACGCTAAGGCATGACTTCATATTTTAGATATTAATTTCTGTATTTTTGAATAATAATGTAATTGGCATGGATGCATTTTTCAAATAGTCTTTTCAATTGACTTTTCTAGTCATTTTTTACTTCTATTGTATCATTGCAATTCAATTTAAAGAAAAGAAAAAGGAATCTGTTATGCAAAGTGTTTAAGTTTCATGGTCTTACCTTAGTTAGTTCCTGTGCGTTGGCTAGATTATCCACGGCAATAGCCAAGAATACATTGAGCAATGTGTCTGTTCAAAGCATCGTCAAGAATTTTGTTTCAAACTTGCAACACGGTTTTCACGGTTTTCAGGGTTTTCCTCAAAAAAATGTGTATTTTTTCACATAGAATATAGTCATGACTAAAAAGGATACAGTTCCCAAACAAGGTTAAAACAATAAAGTAGATGGAAGACCACATTCCATACTGCACTCCTCCTTGGGAGCGTATCCCATTGTACATCACCTCATTCCAGTCTTCTCCAGTAAGAATCTATGTTCAATTCAGAAATTCAAAAAGAGCAATTAAATGTTGGAGTTCCCAGATAGCAAACTGACATTGAATCAACGTGGAAACATCACATCGAAAACAACGTTGATCTGACATTGTTTTGCTCATCGAATTAACGTTGAACCAACGTTAGACGCGTCATTCGTTCAAAACTAACAGAAAATCAACTTGAAATCAACGTTGTTTCAACGTTATGAAAGCAAACCAATTTTCGATTTTCATTTAGCTTTGAAGAATGCTGCGTCTGACGTTGGTTCAACGTTAATTCGATGAGCAAAATCAACGTTGTTTCGATGTCATGAGAGACGCCGTTTCCACATTGATTCAATGTCAGTTTGCTGTCTGGGTTGTCACGATCTCAGCCTGTTTTCACTTGTCTTGTGTGAGGACTTTTGTTATTTCCTGTCTTGTGCCATCTTTTGTAGTTCTTTGTAGTTTTTCATGTTGACAAGTCTCCCCATGTGTATCTTGTTTCCTCATTACCTTGTTTGGCCCTGTTTATTTACATTCCCTGTGTTTCACTTGGTACTTTGTTAGTTGTTTTACATGTGTGATCCTCTTGGTTTTGTTCCTTGAGTTCTATGTTATCTGTTTTAACCAACTTTATTTACCTTGTGCTACTTTATAATTCTTTTTTTTAAAAACTGCTTTTAGATCCTCCACTTCTCCGGCACGTTACAGAAGTAAACCTCAATCGAAACAGATTGCAAACAGATGGTAATTTCAAAATGGCAGCCACAATGAGGGGATAAGCAAGAAAAATAATAAATCTGGGTTGTGCCTGAACGTGTTCATTGAACGATAGTATCATATTTTGGGCGAACGTGAACTAAACGTACTGTATTACTGCCTGATGAACGATACTGTGAAAGCGTTCATTCTGGTGTCTGTGAACGCACGCTCTCTCAGTTTAACTTCGTTCAATAGCGATGTTCGGCGGAGCCAAACGTGACGTCACGATATGGGCGTGGGTGCGAACTGGTTGGCAGAGAGTACCAAAACATACGCAGCAGTCTACCTGTGTTTTGTCAGCATATGATAATTCTTTAAATGAAGAAGCTAAAAGGAGATATAAGGTAAAGCTTTTATATAACCAGGGTTCATGTTCTCTGCCTGATCCATATCACCTTGAGAATTGGAGCAAAAGCCCAAACACATGGCCAGATTTGACATTCGGCGTCATCTACCTGTATCTCATCGACACGCCATATATGTTTTCCAGAGAGTCAATGAAAGCGTACAAATCTTTAGATGCCAATAAGTCATAATCACGATTATTACTTGTTTTAGATAAGGATAACTGGTAAATGTGTTACAACTAGGACAATTTGTCCATGGGCTATATTTTGAATCAAAATTATCTTACCTCTGATATATAGCATTGGTTAACATATACTGTACGTAAAAATGTATAGAAGATAATACAATAATTTGCCCCTTAATTTATAAGGGTATGTACACAGATGATACACAGTACAGTACCCAATCTTTGGGTTAACTTGCTGCACGGCTAACGGCTATTACTTTTCTGCCAACCCGTGTCGTGATGTCACGGGCGAAGATCCCTATAGGATGCCAGATTTCTACAGAGACTTCCAGGCGAAAACCCAGATAAAACACCCCGTAAACAGGCCTTAATATGTAGCAAAAAAAAAACCCATCCAATCTGGCAACTCAAACCACCAGTGTCTCACCATGGCCGCCGCATGTGTCATCAAAACAAAAAGCAGTGTGTAGACGACAAAGCATCGATGAGGCATCGCATCGTGTGCTCATTTAAACGAGTTTTATGACAAGGTCGGTGAGGATGAGAAAAATCTTACATTTTTGTGCAAATATTGCCCGCCGATAAAATATTTGTGGTTGTACGTATATTGGCTGTGGCAATAATAAAAAAAAACTAGTTCATGTAGAAAGTGAACTTTCCCAACACAGAATATGGTTACCAACTGTTTAAAATAGGGCTGGGGTAAACGATTATTAACTAAACGATTAGTTGGGCGATTATTTTATCGATTAGTCGACTAATCTAATGACTCATTGGATGACTAATATAAAGAATATTTTTTCTGCTGCTCAATTAATAAAAAAACAATATCTCAAATAAATACTAGCATACTGAATCAAGATACTATGAGCTGGCTAACGTTAGTCTAATGTTTTGTATTTGAACACCATCATTATAACTCTACAACTGCCAAAACAGTGTTATTAAAATATTTTTTTTACAAACATTTTTTATCATAGAGAATGTTTAAATATTAATATCAGCTGAGGAGGGAAACGGAGGCAGAGTTAGTGGTGCGATCGGAGGCTGCTACTGCTGGAGATGAATCGGGAGAGGTTTGTGCACCTACTGATCAGAGCGCGTGCTGACACGGAGTAAAGCCTTGTTTATACTCGACACGTCCGCACGAGCGCGAATGTGCGCACGGCAAAAATGACGCGTTGGGTGCGCAAGACCAGGAAGACTGTGGCTGGCTGTGTGTACGTCTTTTTTTGTAACAGCGCGCCCGGTGCCGCGTCCGGGAACGACTTCAAGCCGAATCTGCCCGAGCTTGTACGTCTCACCACACCGGCACCCAGTTTGCGCATCTAAATTGCAATTTTTTTTCTTAAGGGTTTGTTTACTGTGTGTGATTCATTTAATGGATAGCACATTCACTTCTAGTCATCTTCGTCCTCTATTCTGCAATGTTTCGGTCTCCCACGTGTGTGTGGCAAGCTGTAACGCCGGGAACATGCAAAAAATAAATAAATAAAGAAGCTTGGACATTGAATCATCGTCGTCATCGACTACAGCACTAGTTTAAAAGTTTTGCTGCTAATTAGGTTGACTATGATAGGTATAAGCCGTTTGAATCAATTGAAGAACAACACAAAATATAGTAATCTGAAGAGTCATACCTGAAAGACGGTCATGATGGCGGCTGGAAACGTGTCAAAATTAGTTGGAGTGTAATCTTCAAAAATGAACCTGTAGAAGAGAAAGAAGTATTTCAACTGATTTTGCAAAAATTAAATTTGTGTTTCTATTTTTTTTTTTATTCCTTGTAAGCTTTCATATAATTGAACCATTTGACTGCATTACATTCTCTTTGTTTTTGCATGAAGCACAGATATTATGCTTTTGTGAGACAAAAGCATTTTATATTTGTATATGCAAGAGCTTGCACAACTAAATCACATACTTAGTGAAAGCACTCTGGGTTTGCTTTATTTCTGTTTACCTGTAACTTCAAATTTATGTCAATTCTCACAGTTACTCTAAAACAAGTGTGTGCAAAGAGGAATGATCTTTCTCTTGCCGCCATGCATTGAACAAGCTCAAATGACGTTATCTGATCGACTAGCTAACACACACACACATGCATTCATGTGAAGACTGTGTGGTGTTCGAGAAGCTAAGTCAGTCTTGAGGATCAATTTAAATGTTTTTCCCCCTTTACATTATTTTGCAGAAAATGTTTTAACAAATTAATGTTTTGTTTTAAGTACAGTGTATCTGTTGTTGAATTGTTTCATGTTTGTTTGTAAGAATGACTGAAAGAGGTTGGTGCTTTAATACCATGATCAATAACTCACCTGCCACCAAACAGCTGCATGCCAAGCAAAGCAAAGACTACGATAAACAGAAAGAGGAGGAAGAGCAAACTGATGATTGACTTCATGGAGCTCATGAGGGACACCACCAAGTTCCGCAAGGAAGTCCAGTACCTGATAAAACATAACACATGTTCTTTACGTCTGTTTTATATGCCCACTGATGCCTTTATGTAGTTTAAAGTTGCATTTGCTGTTGGCCATCATACTAAAAATCCCTTGAATTGATCCCTTGCATAAATGTTATAAACTTACTTTGTTATCTTAAAGATTCGTAGCAGACGTAAGGCTCTGAGGACACTGATGCCAAAAGACACTCCTGGCCTGAAGAATCCCCAAACCACTTCAAAAATACTTCCTACAATAACCTGCACAAAACACGTAGCATTATGCTTCGATCAGTGCTAGGATTTATCAGACTAAATAAAATAATAAATAACCTCAGCTTTAACTTAAACATGTAAAAGAAGCACTTACCCCACAATCAAAGCAGTTAAAGGATGAATGGAAGTACAGACGGAAACCAAGGCCATACATTTTCAGAAACATCTCGGCAAGAAAAAGTCCAAGAAACACGAATTCTGCGTAGTCTGCAAATTGTGAAACAATATTCTCAGTGGTAAGTCCTACTGTATTAGCCTACTCTATGAGCTAAATTGCTCCCATTAAAATCATTGAAGCTGTCTACATCCATTCACAATAACAGTGATTAAAGCACTTTCTGTTCAGTGGGGTGCTTTTGTTTCTACTCGATTGTACTATTCCATTGCATTGTCGCCAAAAGTGTCACATGGAGTTGTAAATTCTTACTGAAAAGGATTGATGTCTGGTTGGTTTGTCTCTACGAGTCACTGTCTGTGTGAAAATCTGCTGTTTCTGTACTGTACTGGTCAGTTACGCCGCCTTCACACTGGCAGTTTAAAACAGCTCCGTAATACGCAATACGTTCCCAGCGGACGTCGTACTACACAGTGAAAAGTGTCGGACGCGAGTAGAACAAAAATGGCGGACAGATTAAAATTCTGTCAGTTCTATATGATCTCTCTGATGTGGGTGGGTGGGTTATGCTGCGTAAGGAAAGTTGCTGAGGACGTTGACATGTCAGGTCGGCTAAAAAATGTGATATAGTGGTCAATAGTTCAATTTCTACCTTCAATTTAATTGTATGAACTGCCCATAAACGTTAGAAAGTCATTAAAATAAAAAATGACACGACAACTTATCGTTATAAAATTATTATTTATTTTATTAAAAGTTAATAATTCAGGTTTGTATATCAGTACCATAGCAACGGTCAACTTCCGCTGGAATTGTCGGATAGGAGCCGTCCGTAGCTTTTCACACGAGTTCAAATTTTTGAACGCATCCGGTCATCCGGACACGATTTTCTTCGCACCGCACTCGGTCGGACCCGTTTCGGACCCATTCGCATGCGGTCTGCGAATCTCCATAGGAAATGAATGACTTCCGGTCGTTTCGCAGCCGCATCGGAGCTGATTTCAACTGCCAGTGTGAAGGCGGTGTTACAAGTAAGACCCCATTTACACCTGGTATTAAAATGCGATCTGTATCCAGATAAGTTATCCGGATAATAAAAAACGCATGTTAATGCAAGGTGTAAATTAGGGCTGGGTATTGAGACAAATTTCACAATTCGATTCGATTTCGATTCACAAGCTTTCAATTCGATTCGATTTCGATTTGATTCAATATTGATTATTTTGGATATCAGTTACAATAAATGGCAATTTTTCTCAAGGGAATTAAATCTCTTAACTAATACTGTAAACTACGGGAGACTAGTTGTAGCCTACTAGGTTTCATTAGCCTAATATGAAGGTAATAATGAATGAATCACTTAAATTACACTTTTATTTATTTTTATAATAAGAAGATTATATGAAATATAAACATTTAAATGGTGGCTGTCATAAAAACTTGCCAGATTTATTAAAATATGCATTAAATATTGAAGAACTTTAAGATTATAATGCATATGTAATATAGTGTATATATTTAGCAAAATGCTCCTCTCTAGAGTTATTTTTCTCTATCTGACTAACGAGTTGATGTGGGTCTTCTGAGGTAAATATGACGATACATGACAAGACATTGATTACAAGCTGTTTAACTGACATCTTTCCACGGTTGAAACGCTGATTGAGCGAATCAATGTGACATAATACGGATTTCGATAAGTTGTACTCTATCTTTAACACACTTTCAGATGTTCATTCATGTTTATTTGGCGCTGTAACTGGTATTATTAACCCGGAAGAGAGATCAGCGCTGCTGCTTCTCCAGAGCGATCTCACGCCACAGCGCCAAAACTCTATTTATGTTTTTGAATTTCTAAAGAAAATGGACGTAATTTGAAAATTGAGACTTTGTTTCATATCAATAGTAACAAAGGACAAAGATTATTGCGATTTTTTGAATGCGCGCAGCCGCGATACAATGTCCCATTTATTCAAATGAAACAGGATGACTAATCGATTCTTGAGATTTAAGAATCGATATCGGTTCGTAAAAATGAGAATCGATTAATATCGAGAAATCGATATTTATTACCCAGCCCTAGTGTAAATGCGTTGTGATCGGATCGTGATCGGGACCACATCTGGTGGTAGTCTGGCTCGCATTGTGTCCGGATCTTTACTAGGTGTAAACGCAATCTGGTTGTTGAAACCACATATGTATATTTTACGTCTCCCAAAAATGCAAAAAAAATAAACGAGTGAGAGCGTGTTATATAGGCTATATGTCACGTTATAGTCAGATATGACGGCGCTATTGCGACACGCATCACCGCAGATGAGCGTCTGTTCATCAAGCCAACGTGCAAACATCGCAAATAAAAGTGAAAGTGAGTCACAGACAGTGTTGGGTAAGTTACTCCAAAAAAGTAATTAATTACTAGTTACTAATTACCTCTTCAACAGTGTAATTAGATAACTGTACTAATTACTCTCTCTAAAAAGTATTTAATTACTTTTAATTACTAATTACTTTCAAAATCCCATATCAATCTCAACCAGCTGAATAATACAAGGATATACAGCTGTTTTAATTCTTTCAAATAAATACTATAAAATTGCATGAATTATCCTTAAACTGACCAAGGTGGAGAAGGTTACATTATAAAAACTTACTTTTTAACATCAGACAATACATTTTGGTCATTTTTAAACCCACGATTTGTTTGTGTCTGATCTCATGACATTTCACACTTTTTTCATACATATTTTACAATAATTCATACGAATTTGTACGAGTGCGGTCGTACGATTTAGACACCTCATAAAATGCATACGAATCGCTGTGAGATCGGATTGATCTATACACAGTATTTACCTCAATTACATCAGAAGTAACTGTAATTAAATTACAGATAAATGAAGAGTAATCCCTTACTTTACATTTTCAAGAGAAAAGTAATTAAATTACTACTAATTACTACTTAGTAATTAGTTACACCCAAAACTGGTCACAGACGCTTAACACACAATCATCTTCAAGTAAAAAAACGAAATTATCTTACCAGCGCTGATTGCCACTCTCTTATTGATGTCTTTGATTTGGAAATTAGCTGATGATCAATAAAATGCAGCTCAAATCTGTTGCTTTTGGTGGCGTGCAATCCATTAAATCTGCATATAACGCGGGAGTTGAAGATCGGATTTATATCCGTTTTGCAAAAACAGGTGTAAATGGAATCGGTACTTATTATCCGGATAACTTATCTGGATACAGATCGCATTTTAATACAGGTGTAAATGGGGTCTAAGTGCTTGTGCTTCTACTTATGGTTTCTCTCGTTTATGCTCCTAAAAAGTATATTCCAGATGTAAAACATTTAGTTACACCAGTGCGCTAAGCATCATATTAAAGGGTTAGTTCACCCAAAAATGAAAATTAAGTCATTAATTACTCACCCCCATGCTGTACCAACCCCGTAAGACCTTCGTTCATCTTCGGAACACAAATGAAGATATTTTTGATTAAATTTGAGAGCTGTATAACTACCACATTGGCTCCTAAGGGACTGCCTCTTGACGGCCCAAAAAGTCAATGAAGAAAATGTTTAAATATCCCAAGTGACTACCGTGGCTCAACTATATGTTTATCAAGCAACGCGAATACTTTTTGTGCGAAAAAACAAACAAAAATAACGAGTTTATTCGACTATTTCTTTTCTTCCTTGTAGGCCAGAAACGAGACTTCCTTAGATTTCCACGACGCATGCGCGAGATTTGCGATCTGCTCACACCAGCTTACACTACTTCAGATCGCAATTCTCGCGCATGCGTCGTGGAAATCTAAGGAAGTCTCGTACATCAGTGCGCTAAGCATCATATTAAAGTACATTTGTACTGCAAATAAATATTTATAGTTAAGGTGAGACACTGCAGGTGAATAGGATAAAAATTTTAACTTGCAGATATCACCATAAAACTTTATCAGTTGATTACTCACATAAAAAAGTGATGAAAAAAATGTATTGCAAGTTTTCAGTAATTGTATGTTTAAGTATGCTAATCAGCCTATATCTAATTAAAAATGCACTAATTTGCATATATTTTGAAGTGACGAATCTGACCATTGAAAAAAACAGGGTTCAAAGTTATGTTTGCATTTTGTTGATGTATTCAATGAAAAGACATTTTCAGAGGGGATTATGAATATCTCCTTTTGTTACCCTGTTATTCAGAAAATACTGCCAATAGGCTTAAAAAAATAGATTTCTGCCATATTTTTAGGCATAAAATGTCATATAAATCAGGCCAAGAATGATACATCAACAAATGCCTTTGAACAAACCTTCACAATATAGTTAGGAATACGGCTGTAAAGTTTGGTGTATGTATGTGCTATAGAAGTGGAAAATCGTCACTGTAAGTGTGAGAAAAAAACAGCCTTTAAAGATTTTTATGGGATTGCGCATTTCTAGTTAATTGGCCCATTTTACTTTTTTATGATTGGTTGCTGATAAACAGAAAAGGACCATATTTGAATCCGACAGCATTGAAGAGGAGAGAGAGAGCTTTCTAACGGTGTGTGCGATGGCAGAGCAGTGGCATGATTTAGAATGCCAACTTTTGAGGAATTTAGGCGAAATCTGCACACGCAAACAGACAAAGTGTAGTAAAATAAAGCTCAAGTCTGAAAGATGACATGTTATTAAATACAAATAGCTCAAAATCTCAACACTGACCAGTGAAAAAAAACCTAAAAGTTTTTGCCTGCCGTGTCTGGCCTTAAGTCATATTCTGTCTATTCAATTAAATATGTTGTCTACTCTGACAAAAAGTGTCCGCTTGTTCTTTTGAAATAAAAATACAGGAACACTGACAGCTTCACAGCGGCCTCATGACAACACGACCTGCCTTGAGCTACAGAGTGCTGGATGCCCTGTTGTGCAGTGTGGGGTAATTTCAGCAACTCTAGAACACTATAGGGACCATTAAGCGAATGTCCGTCATCCATACACAGAGCAGTTCTGTCATGTTGAGCAGGCACTGGGGCATTTTTCTGCCTGACAGGTCTATTTTATGTGGTCATTTTATTAGCAGCAGTTTCAGTGGAAAAC